GCTTTACTCCGATGAGCCGCCAGCTAAACATTCCATATTTGACCTTTGAGGTCTTAGCTCCTTATTTTTCTGCAAGTGCACGCACAGCCCCGCTGTGAGTGAGAAGACACCCCGAGGTGTTTGTGAACTGGGGCCCGTCTGTCGACAGCGTCCGCAGAGGGACCCGGGTTGCTGTTTCTTCCTCTTTCTGTTTTTGACCTTTGCCCCCGTTTTCATAGGTGCAAGTGTGGTCGCCGCGCCGTGGGGCGAAACGGCCGCTGCAGCCCCCAGGGCGTCGGTGGTGGCGTCCCGCGGGCCTGGGTCTGGGCAGGCGGGTGCGCACGGTGCCCGCTTCGCGTGCGCTTGCCCCGGCCACTGTCAGTGTCGCCGCAGACCCTGCTGGGCGACGGGAGGCGCGGAGGCTTCCCGTAGAGCTTCGCGAGAGGCGTTTCAGCGGTGCGCCCGTGCCCGGGCCGCGGGGGGCACGTGGCTTGTGAATGGAAAGAGCTGGCCGAGTCGGCGGCTTAGCAGCCGCTCTGCCGGAGTGTTGGCGGCACCAGGCCCTGCCCAGCAGGCCGTGGGCTGGAGAGGAAGGAGCCCCGCCTGTCCCCTCTCAGCCTCCCTGGTGGGGGCGCCCTGCCCCTCGCCAGCCACCCACGAGACCTGTACCCTCAGCCCGGCCTGCTCCTGGGCCCCGCACGGGCTCAGGCAAAGCGTCTCTCCGTACCTGTTAGCGAGAAAGACCCTGTTGGGACATCAAGCCAGGGCCTTGGCTTTGGCTGGAAGGACGCGATGCCGTCAGTGTGGGCAGTGGCCGGTCGACCGCTCCCAGGGTCCAGGGCCAGCTCTGGTGGTCAAAGTGGCCCTTTTTGAGAGTAAGCTGCAGTCTGTGCTCATGTTCGGTGTCTGGGTCTGCAATTCACGCGGCCTCGGTGACGGGGTGTGACTGCTTGGAAGAGGGCGGGAGCGGGCGTGGCGGCCGCAGGTGCTGACCTCCTGGCTTTTCACGTGCTCTCTGCGCCTCACCCAGCAGCGCCTCGGCCCTGACTGGTTTGAGGTTACTGTCCGGGAGAGAGGTGGGCCCGGCGGGCTTCAGAGTGTTTGGGATAAGGACGCACTGACATCGTGTGTGTGTCACACACGTGTTTCCGTGTGCGTGCATGGGCGTCTGGGGCTAGGAGGCTGTTGGGGGTTGCTGACCGGCCCTGGACCCGCGCCTTTCTCTGCAGGGACACCGTCCCCAGCAGCTGGCGGGGCCGAGGGTCCTCCGCTCCCCAGCACCGCTCTGTCAGCGCGCCTCTGCTCGGCCGGCCGCCCTGGCGCGTCTGGCCCGCTGTCTCCCAAGCTACCGTGGTCTTTCCCTTGACCCGTGGCGGGAGCGGGCCGTTGATCGGCCAGACCCGCAGGGGAACGCGGGCCGGTGTTCCGGGCTGGCACTGACTGCTGAGGCCTTCTTTGCCACAGAAGCGCTTTGTGGGATGAGAGGCCGCTTGGGGGAGCGCCCCTGACGGAAGACTGGGGGGCGGAAGCCGGCTCAATGGGGTTCTGTTACGGGGCAGCCCTCCATGATCTGAGGGTGCTGGAATGTGCCCTCGGCAGTGACCCGGATCTAAGTGGGACAGTGGGAGACACAAAAATGCACTCCCGGGGGGCCCTCGGGACCGTTGCCAAAAGGGCCTGCTCCTGGGCTGGTGAGTGCTCCTGCGGTGCCCGGCCTGCAGCAGGCGGGCGCAGGAGCCAGGCCGTCCGGGGCGGCGAGGCCAGACTCCTCCACAGACTCCCACAGACATCTCTGGGCCTCCGGGCCACTTTCCTGGGCAAGGGCCCCCTTCCCGCTGCCCACCTCTGTGGTCCAGGGTGTGGCCTACGCCCCGGGCTGCAGCAACACTGACTGCTTCTACTTTGTGTTTCTCTAGGGTGGTACAGAGGCTACACCTTGCGGAAAAAGTCCAAGAAGGTAAGTCGTAATTTTTATTAAACACAGTTTTTCCCCTTCATAAATCACACTGAGAGGAAATCAATTCTCCGTCCTTTGTGCCGAGTTCTCCCTCTGTATCTCTTTCTCGAATCTAAGCGATGTGAGCGTCGAGTGTGGGCTGTCCTGCCCCCGGCCCGCCCAGCCTCCCTGCCCTGCCTCTCGGGCGCGCTCGTGCGGGGCGGGGGCGCTCCTGAGGGCTCCCCTTCTCTCGGGCTGGCGGGATTCCCTCCCTGTTGTGCCGAGGGGAGTCAGTGTGACCCGGGTACCGCGGCTCGGGTGGCTCTCAGACGCACTTACCCTTGCCGGAAGCGCGACGGCCTTGCGGGGCTGGGCCCGCTTTGCCCTGCCAGCACCGTCTTTAACCGCGTCTGTGGGTGTGCGGCAGGGAGAGGTGGTGCTGGCAGGCAGTCCGCCTGCGTGGTCGTCCGGCTCTGAGCAAAGGCCGCAATTAGAGGCCACTCCTGTGCGACACGCCCAGGCCCGCTCCGCTGTGGCTTCTCCCCGCTCGGGGTGCCCACAGCCAAGCCGGCTCCTGTCTCATGCTGCCAGCCCCGTGTCCTGCGCGGTCGGGCTGCCTCGGGCACCTGCGCGGGCGGCCTCCCCTTCTCCTGCTGCCCCTCATTCTCTCCTTGTTGGGCCGCAGGCTTCTGTGGTGCAAAGCCCGTCCCTGAGGGTGCCAGTGACTTGCAGGCAGCGTAGAGCGTCCCCGCTCTCCTGCCTCGGGGCCCCGTCACCAGATCCTGCCTGGGTGGGAGAGCTGCCCGTCTGCTCGTGCTGGTCACGGGCACGCGGGCTGAGCTCGTCTGGCTTCGCACTGCTTCTGCCCGGTAAGTGCTGGAGCCTCAGGTCTGCCAAGGGGAGCAGGGCGCCCGCACCCCCGCTCAGGCCGAGCCACGTGTCTCTGTGCAGCCAATGGCCTGGAGCCTCGAGGTTGCCCAGCGCCTTCCGAGCGGGGGGCGGGGGCAGGCCCGGGTCACACTCTGCAGGGCCTGCACACCTGCGGGGAACCCTGGGTGTCTCTCCCGAGAGCGTCGTGCTTGCGGGTGTTTTAACAGAGATGAGGGGCGCGGGGCGCGGGTCCCCAGCCGCCCCCAGCCACAGGTCACCTGCAGCTCAGGTGAAGCGGCCCCGGGGCTGTTCACCTGGCTGCGGTGCTCACTGCTCCTGGGTGCTTGGGGTCTCCCTCCCTTCCCCCCACACCTGCCTGGGCCCCAGTCCTGCCTGCCCTGCACTGGGCCCTCCGACCGCGGCTCAGCGGCACCACTGACCTGGCCAGGGGTGTTTGATTTTCCATCGAAACCCTGAAGTCCTCATGGCAGTGGCGTGGGCTGCGGCGAGCCTAACGCCTTCAAGAGGCCTTCATTTGGGGTGGGGCTCCCCGGTGGGGCACAGAAGGCACTTGGCGCCCACGCCTGGCTCCAAGCTTTCCGGAGCCGCCCTCTAGAGCGCCGCGGGTGTGCTGCTGCTCCAGCTGGACAAGGCATCACCCGAAGCCTGCGGAGGCGTCCGGCTCCGGCCTGTGGCGCCCAGAGCAGCAGCCTCTGCCCAGCGCCCAGGCCGGGGTGCGGCTCGTCTTCTCCAGCTGAGCGCACACCTGTAGACCTCAGAGGTGCACCCAAGGCCATGCAGGATTTGAAGGTGCCCCATTCTGGGGCTGGCAAGAGCGCCCAGCGTTCGGGCCCCTCAGTCCTCTGCGCTGCTCGTCTCCGCCCTTCCGCGCCACTCCTTGCTTCTCTGATGATTCTCCTTCCTGTGACGTCTTCTTGGTGGGCAGGAGCGCGTGGCTCGGCCTGTCGCCCAGTCGCCGGGGTTTCCGGACGTCCACTGTAAAGCTGTTGGGCCAGACAGAGCCAGGGAAACCCAGTCCGAAGCCCCTGGTGCTGAACAGTGCCCGAGCCCAGTGTCACTGCTGCGTGAATTCTGCCCTCGCACCAGCCCCTGCCAGCAGCCAGAGGGCTTGCTGTGTGCTGAGCGCCTGCGGCGTCCGGGCCCGACGGCCCCCAGGAGGGGAGGCTCCTGCCGCGTGGGGCACGGCCAGCTCTCGGTTCGCTTTGCGGCTGGTGCCTGAGCCGAGTGTGCTCATGAGAGCGCTCCTTCGGGCACCGGGCACACGGGGCACACGGGCGTCCTGCCTGGGGGTGCAGTGTGCTCGTCAGAGCCGGGTGCTCCCTGGACATTGTCCAGACAGGGCGCGTCTGCCCAGTTCCCAGCGTTCACCACTGGCCCCTCTGTTTGGCGCTCGAGGGACGTCTCGGTGGCCAGGCTCGCCCTGTGTGTGGCCCTGGGACCCGTGGGCAGCCCAGTCCGACGGCCGGCCAGTGCTGGGTAAGAGGAGAGACCTGGGGCTTCAGTGTGACGCTCCGAGGCACCGCCGCTCTGCCCATGGGTCACTGGGCGCCTTCGTTGGCCTGGGCCTTCTGTGGCTGCTGGCGCATGGCGTCCTCAGTCCCTCTGAGAGGCTGGACAGGGGCTTTGCCTCAGCCTCCACAGTCAGAGTCACCCCGGCCCTGCTCCTGGGGGTGTGGTTTCATTTGCAGTTACTGTTTGTCTTGATACTAAAATGCTGTCTTGTCTCCCCCAAGGGCATATTTCCTGCTTCCTATATTCACCTGAAAGACGCCATCGTTGAAGGGAAAGGGTGAGTGCCCTGGAGGTGCCAGTCGGCTCGGCCTGGGCTCCTCCTGCAGGTGCCTGAGGGCGAGGCCCCGGGGTGGGGTCGGAGTTGGGGGGAGGCCACTTCTGGTTTGGGGTTGTCCAGACATGGCTTGGAGCCCCAGAGAGCCTGATTCCCTGCCCCGCTGCGCGAGCAAGGCCGTGACGTCCGCCCGGGGCGCAGCTGGGCGGGGCCCCGGCTCCGAGGCCACTTTCTGGAGCAGTGTGCAGACTGGCATCCAGGAGGAGTTGGGGTGAAGCAACAGTTGTTCGGTTGGGGCCTGGGGGGTTTGCGGTGGGTCTGACTGTGACGTAGGTCTCTCCCAGCCCCGAAACTACGTGTAAGATCATTAAAAGGCCATTTGTAGAACAGGAGCCCATTAGGCAGGAATGGCAAGTGAGCGACAGGTGCGACCTGGAGACGGAACACTGAAGTGTTTTCCTTTTTTGTCTCTGCCACATCTTCACACTCAGTTAAATATGTAAATTATAAAATTACTAATCATATGATTACTGCATAATGACATCTCTTTGGCTGATTACAAAATTGCTTTTCCAAGCACTGTGCTCTTAACGTGCGGAGGGCTCGCGGGCCCCCGCCCCACGGCGCGTGACTGACAGGAGCAGGGCGCCATGCAGGCTGCGTGTCGCTGGCGCAAGCTGGTGGTTTTCGTCCGGGCAAGCTGTGGTCTGTGGCGCGTTTTAAGGGAGGTCACAGGGCGGCTTGCAGCGCTGCCCCGTCGTGGAGGTCACCGGCTCGAGCGCCCGCGCGTGCTGCGTGTGCGAGTCAGAATCGCGGGGTGCCGTGCGCATCACGTGCTCAGAACGGCACGTTGATGGGAAGGAGACACTCTGAGGCGTAATTATCGGCTCCCTGGGGAGGCGAGATGGGCTTGTTTTGATTCCCAATCAGCGGCGCTCGCCCAGACAGACAGCAGACACCTCACCCGGCTGTGTGAGCTGGCGGCGGAAGCTGGAGCGGCGCAGCTCCCTGCTGATGCTTTGGGGCTCCCTGCGGCGTCCTCGGGCTGTGGCCCCCGGCCCCTTTTGTTCTTGCGGGGCCCCCGGGGTTGCCGGTTCTTGCTCTTGGCGAAGGCCCCCCCCAGCCCGGTGTCCTCCGCTCTCGCTGCCCCAGACGCCTCTTCACCCACCCCCACCCCGGCCCGACCGGCCCCTCGCGCGAGGCTCCTGTGAGCGCCGCTCTCGACGTCCTGCATCACCCTGTCTCTGGCTGCGGCGGCCACCACCCATTCCGCGCCTTCACCCTATGACTCTGTCTTCTTCCCACTGCGACACCACTCCCGATGCCGCTTGGCTGCAGCCTGGCAGCCCCGCCCCGTGCTCCCCACCCGCTCACAGTGGTGCCCGCCCTCTGCTCCTGTGGCCCCTGCCTGCCAAGCTTCGCCTCTCCGCGGCCCTCTCCCTGGGCCCTCCTGCAGAAGGGCGGCTCTCGTGCTCAGTTGCCCCCCAGGGGGGTCAGACCGGGACTCCAGCCCTGCTGAGTTCCATCCCCAGAGCCAAGCGGCCAGGAGACCCCCCCCCCCAGCCGAACGCCAGGTCCTGCTCATCCCCCACACACCCTGCGTGACCTTCTGTCCCTCACCTTGGGTTTCTCAACGGCCCTGGGGGCAGGCGCTGTTGGGGTGTGCTGCTGCCCCGGCAGGTAACGGGCTGCAGTGACACGCCGGAGTGTTTAGTGCTGCGTCTGTGCCTGGGGCGGGGCAGGCCAGGCGCAGGAGCGGAACGTCAGCCTCCGGATGAGACCGGCACACGGCGCGGGCGGCGGGAGGGCGGCCTAGCTGAGCTTCGAGTTTCTAGCAGGCAGGGGAGTCTAAAGGCAGGATCGGCTTCGGGCTGACCAGTGTCCTGGCGTGAGCGGGGCGAGCCCTACCTGCACACCCCCGGGACCAGGAGGCGGACGTGGGGGCCGGCCTGTTTGACCAAAGGGGCATTGACGCACTGCAGAGGTGGTCCTGCATAGCCCACCCCAGATGTCCGGTTCCTATTGGTCCAGCCGCCCACATGGCCACCTGGCCACAGACTGGCTGGCTCTGGGTCTCCCACTGTGCCTTCCTTGGGGCTTCCCGGCTGTAAGGGCCCCAGGAGGGAGCATAAGTCAGGCCCAGGCAAGGCCACCCCCGAGAAGGGGCCTGTCCAGTGTGCCGGTGCTGCCCGGAGTCCACTTCAGGACACTCTGGGTGTACGCGCTGTCCTGTCCGAGTGGTTTGGGCCCAACTCACTCATCACTCAACGCCCAGCTCAGGGCTTGTGGTCGATTTAAAAGACGACACCAAATAGGTCAGGAGTTAAGAATGAGTGTAGGGTTAGCGTGTGGGGCTGGAGAGAACACGCAAGGCGCCCGTCAGCGTTGGGGGCGAGGCAAAGACCTACGACTCTGGCAGCTGTGACCTGCTCCTCTCCCACGGCCGAGGGCTCCCTGCGCCTGTCCTGAGTGCTGTGCCCTTCTTACTCCAAACCTGCATTTAAATACCAGGCAGATTGGTTGTAATTTATGGTGTCTGTAAGATCGATGGGCACGCGCATTATGAATGTACTCGCTACGCCCCAGACCTCGACGCTCTGAACACTTTTAATGGGGTAGTATTTGCCTCCTTCATCTTACCGTGACAGGTGAGAGGCAGCGCCGTGTCGGGTGATGTATGGACACTCGCGGGCCCGGCGCAGATGTCACTCGTCAGCCTTGGAGGTGCGGGTATTCCCGCGGGTGGCTCAGCCTCCTTTGTGTCCTCCCCCCGGCTGACGGGAGGCGCGCCAGCCTGGAGGGCAGAGTTTGCAGGGTGCAGCGTGCAGTGGTCAACGGAGGCCTGGACTCAGCTGTCCTTCCCTTCTTCCCTCCCAGGCAACATGAGACAGTCATCCCCGGAGACCTCCCGCTCATCCAGGAAGTCACCACCACCCTCCGCGAGTGGTCCGCCATCTGGAGGCAGCTCTACGTGGTGAGGAAACGGGGTCCTGGAGGATGCGTGAAATGGGCTTTGGGGCCCAGGTGTACGCACAGCGTAGTTCTCCTTTCCCTGGAGACCCCCAAGTCACAACTTCCAGGACAGACTCATCCTCAGAAAGCAGTGCGACCCTATATTCTGGCCACTGTTGGGGGCTGATTGCCCTTTGACCTGTTTGCTTTATATAGGGGTGCAGTGATGGCCCCAGTAATCAAGTGGCTGGAAAGGAAGGGAAGCCAGCTGCTTTGGGGCCCCTGGCGTGCAGGCCCAAGCAGTTTGCATGGAGCGACTCTTGGAGTTTTGTTAAAGATTTATTTTTATTGGTTTATGCATATAAGAACTGGGGTGCAGGTCAGCGGTATGGGGGTGAGAGGGCTCACTAGAGACAGAGTGGGGAGCAGAGCAGAAAAGGGGGATCTATTGAAATCCAATGTTGAGGGGACTAGCAGGGAGATAGGAGAGGTCTGCTGCACCCTGTGGGTCACTCCCTGGCCAGGGATCGAACACAGGCCACATTGGCGTGATAGCACTGAGACTTGACTCCTGCACCACCAGAGAGCCCCCTTGGGGTTTATATTTTGATGATGGAAGCGAGAGTCTGCTGTTCAGCGGTTCTTTGTGGGTACAAGAGGGGTGATGAGTAGTTACTCTGCCACGCGCAGACAGCAGGTAATGCCTCCTGCTGCTGAGAAATGCCGCGCGGCTCGGGACTTAGGCGTGGGCTGCAGGGAGTGGGGGGCATTTGCATTCTGGCTGCTGCTGCGAGTGTCCAGTTCTGATGCTGGAAGAAGTCTTATTAATGCAGAGAGGTTGAGGCTCTGACATCTTCCATTTCCCATTCCTTCAGGGCATTGCGTTGCACATAAATTCATATTTGCAGAAGATTACCTTTTGTTAAGCCCCTATTTCTATTCAGAGTGTTGATTTCTCATATGCTAATGTTGTCGGCCCAGCACCAGGGCTCTGGAGGGACGTGAGTGCAGCAATTTTTCGGAACGTAGAAAACTTCTGAGAGTCCCACAGCTGCTCTCCGGGCAAGCTTGCTGTTTTTGATTATACAGTGGTTTCCAATAAATGCACAGTAATAAGCAGTTGCAGTAATTGTTCATCAAATGCTCTCAGAACCCAAAAAGCGTAAAGTTAGCCACGCATGTTTTGTGTAAATCTGAGCAATTTTGTCGTCGGTGTTATATGTTCAACTTAGCAATTTTTAAACAAAAATACAGCAGCCCAGCAAGCGGGCGCACTGGCGCGGGGTCAGCAGGAAGCGTTTCTGCACGTGGCCCGGCCCTCAGCTCCTTGGGTTTCTTTGCAGAAGTTTCCGTTTGTCTTTTCGTGTCTCGCATTACTGGATTTGGTCAAAGTAAAACCAAAATCCCCTCTAGTATTCTACAGGAGTGGGTTTTTCATCTTTTTTGGACTCTGACTTCTTTCTGGTTGAGATATTGGAGACAAACTAGCAAGCTATTATGGATTTTTGAGACTCACCAAGGCTTTAGAACAGCGCATGAGGGTCCTCCCTGGTGGCGCAGCGGGTCAAAGCGCAGTACCGTGAAGCTTGGCCGTGCCGCCTCAGTGCCTCAGTGGAGGTGATCCAGGGCAGGCCTCTGCTGACCCGCCCGCTGCTCCCCTCAGCAGTGGACTTCATCCATCTGCCTGTCCTGCTCCCCACTCTGTCTCTGGTCCCCTGCACCTCTGGCCTATACCCTAGTTCTGTATGCACAAAGAAATAAATCTTTACAAAAGAAAAAGAAAAATGCATGAAGAGAAATAGTGATTAAGCGTTAATTTTGGCCATTTAGTTTTCATTTCAGAAATTAAAATTAAGATAACGCTATAGAGAAGAGTTCATAGGAAGCAGCCGTCTGGTAGGGTTACGTGAGGTAGTAACCTTAGATGTTACTGCTTAGGTAGTAGGCACCTTTCATGTTCTAGAGAGAAGGTCAGATACCAGAAACAGTGGGGATGGAGTTGCAGGTATGTACGAGAGATGCTGTTTTCAAAAAGTAGCAGTGGCCTCATTTTAGTCTTCGTGTGCCCATGCTGTTTGAATCTCATCCCTGTAGCTTGGGTCTCTTCTCCTGGCAACGCCCAGGGCCTCTCTCCTTGGGGCGGCCCCCGATTCCCGCGAGGAGCTGCACCCTTGCAGTGGCAGGCCTGTTGCTGTTCTCCGCACACCCGCCCCTTGTGCAGCACAGGCCGTGCCAGGAAGTGTGGACTGGTGTTTTCCTTCTGGCACGAAGACCCCAAGAGCTGGTAGCTTCCCGGAGGCCCCGTGTTCCCCACGCAAGCCTCGGGGCCCGAGCCTGTGCCTGCGGGGCTCTGCCGACTTCTGGGCCTGGGGCTGTGGGCTGAGCTGGCCTGGGCCAGACAGGGCGTGTGAGTGTCGGGGAGGAGACACGGAGGAGAGGGAGCTTGATGGCTGCGCTTTCCTGGGCCAGGTCCGAGGAGGTCACGAGCTGGCTGTCGGCCTCTCTGTCCAGATCCTGCCCTGGGCAGCCCCTCGATTCGGCCGTTCATACCCTGGTATGACTGCTGCGCACCGAGTTGGGCACGATGCGTTCTGCTTTGCTGCTGAGCACATCTTTTCATTTGATGAGAACTGACTCTCTTCCTGTAAACCATAGACTACTAGTTTGTATTTGAAAACCAATCTGTGGTCCGGACTAACGCCCAAACTTCACCCCCGCTCCTGCTCCTGCGAGCAGCAGGATAACAGGGAGATGTTCCGGAGCGTGCGGTGCATGATCTGCGACCTCATCGAGTGGCGGTCCCAGATCCTGTCGGGCACTCTGCCGCAAGACGAGCTCAAAGAGCTGAAGAAGAAGGTCACTGCTAAAATCGACTATGGAAACAGGTTGGTTTGCTTGAAAGATGGCTTCTTGCTCAATTTATCAGTATAAATACCTTCTCCCCAAACCTGGAGGGGGCTAAAATAACGTTTTATCATAAGCGGAATTTCTAGGCTCAAAAAGAGTGACGCGGTTTTCTTTTTTGAAAGGAGGTACCTTCTGTGTCTAGTACATCCTGAAAATCAACCTTCTGGAGTCCTTCTGTCCCCCATGCTCCAGCGGGAAGCCTGGGAGCTGGGGCTGGCAGCCTGTGTCCTTCACTGGTCTGCAGGGTCCTAAGATTCTCACTCCTCCCTTCCCCCAGGAGGGGCCGTACTTTCTGCTCATGGCATTTGACGAGTCTAGGTGTGAGGGACTTGTTGTACTGAGAATACCAAGTTTCTAGAGTGGGGGGATGTCCCAGGTGACCTTAGAACTGGCTACTGGATAGGGTTGCCGGACATGGCCACAGAATGCCACTTGCGAAGTCTGGTAAGCCGCACGGAGTGCTGTGTGTGGTCAGTCTCGCGTTGCTGCTGCCATCCTCGGGGCCCCAGCGCTTCTGCCAGTGCTCGCAGGCCCTCAGTGCCCCTGTGCGCGCTCGCCTCGGCTGTGCTGACCCTGGGCGGACATGAGGTGCTCCCAGCCGACCCTGACAGCACCTGTAACCAGAGTGACTCCTCTAAGCCCCACCCTGCCTGCATATAATGTCAGAGCTGCAGGAAGCCCTAAATTAACCAGATCACCTGGTCCCCAGACATTTGTCTGTCTGCATCGGGCTCCCTTTGGAAATGCAGAGTCCCGGCGCCCCGTCCTGATGGCTCAGATCTGTGATGCCTCGGATGCTGGCGGAAATGCCTGGGTTTAAAATGGACTCAGACCATGAGGAACAGCAGTTTGGGAAGCTTTTGGTGTAGGCCACCCTCGTTTTGCACATCAGCACACAGAGCTCAGAGGAGAGGAGAGGTCTGCCCGCTCTTCTGCTGAGGGCGGGAACTCGGCAGTCTGCCTGTGAAGTCAGAGCGATGACATGATTTCGCTCTCTGGTAATTCGTATTTTCAAGTGTGAGACATTTCTCAAAGCAGCGTGATTAGTATGACGGATGGGAGTTTGGGTCAGAAGAGTGCAGGCGAACCAGAGGAAGGACGTCTGGACACGGGATCTTGGTTATTGTAGCGGTCCAGGACCCGCTGCTTATAGAAACCAAACTTTTGGAGCTTTGATTTTATTTTCTGTTGGAGTATCGTATTTTGAACTTATGTTCAGAAACCACCTGCTTAATTTGGCTGCAGGAAGCGGCCAAAGTACATTATGTCTTGGAGCAATCTAGTTAAGAAAGGAAGTGTTTCCAATGTAATTTACGAAGCCGAGAGGAAATACAATGCTTAGTAAGACAGCTTTCCGCCTGAGGAAGGAACGCAAGGTCAGCCCCCGATTGCTCTGAAGCCCAATGCTTTATGCAAATCTTTCTAGTCCTCCTCCAGTGAACAAAATAATACAAACTTAAATCACAATGTTCATTTGATTCAAATGGATTCTGGAAGGCATTTGAGTGTGTGTAGGGCACAAGCCAGTACTCGAGTGCACACCCGTCTCTCTCACTCACGTCGTGTGTGGCTCCAGAGGCTTCCGCCCTCTTCCTCAAAGTGCTGAGTCTCCCGGTTGAGTCTGTGAGGGTGTCAGGCCCTCCCTTGGGAAACTCACTGTGGACTCAGAGCCACATGTGCTAGCAGGACATGGAGAGGCCGGTGCAGAGGAGACCCCGATGGCCACTCTCCGGGCTGGTGGCTTGAATGTGGCATTCTGTAGAGTGTGCGCATTGTCCTGAGTAGGCCCTGACTCAGGGTCCAGACTGGGCTTTTGCGACTGTTTCCCTGAGATGCCCCCACGCCTCCTTCCGGGTCTGGCGACCTTTCTTGGCAGGATCACGTGAGGCGCAGTTAGCAGTATAGTCACAGCTGGGAAGGGCCTGGGCCTCCATTCCTCACCTGGGTCTGTGTGGCCTCCAGGACTGCTGGCCAGTTCAGCTGCTTTGTGGCTGTGCCACACCCCACCAGCCTCTGCAAGCACACATCTGGCCTCCTCCCACCCTCATTATCATCAACCCCACCCAGACCTGCAGGGACCCTCTGACTTCATTAGCACTGGCCCCACCCACACGAGCGTCTTTCCACCCAGGGTCTGATTTCCAGCTGGCATGATCTTGGGTATTTGGGAAGAGAGGCACATGAGTATGTGTTAGCAAGTCCATCTAATGAGAGAGGCTTGAAAAGTGTCTTTCCTTCCCTGGAGGCCCCTCATCCCCTGTTCGCACACAGAGCCAAGGGCTGCTGTTCCTGACAGCCCCTGCGTGCAGGCCCTGTTGGTTTGCTCAGCGGATAGTAATGGAAGAATGCGGCTTGGTGGTTGCCCTGTGTGTGGCGCCGGGTGCAACGCGTCTCGGGTCTTGGGCTCGCAGGGACGCCCGCCCGTGTGAGGTGCCAGAGCACAGCGAGGAGAGGAGTGAGCTGGGTTGGCCGGAAGGAATACACGGCCATTGGCAAGTCAGCTTTCTCCTTAAACTTGAAACAGTGCAAGACATTCCCTAATTGAAGTTTATCTTTCAAACGACTCCTTGGTTATCGGATAAAAAAACAAATCAAAACAAAGCAAAACTGATGATTCAAGGGAAAACCGGGATCAGATCTCATTCAGGGGAAAACCGGGCCAGCCCTCCGTAGCCCAGTCCCGGATTCGCCTTATTTAATTGCCTTTGCTAATTCTTGAAATAAAGTTCAAGGTCACTCTCACCGAGCTACTTTGTTGGCTTTGGGGCTTCTGAGAACATGTTGCCCCAAAATAATTTCCGATACAGGCAGGCAGATTTATTAGCCAGATGCTGCTGGTGTCTCAAGCTGGCTACCGCATTGAGCCATCTGGCCAGAAAGTCTCTTCATGTTGTTGTGAATAACGTCCATATGGCTGAGACACAGTGGAACGTCTTCATCAGAGTCGGGTTCATCTGCAAGACAGAGCTGGCTGGGTGGAAGGCAGGCGTCAGGCAGGCGTGAGGGCGGAGGGCGTGGCTGCGCGCCACCTTTCCTCTGCTTCCCCCACTGGGGACGGCGCCCAGCTCAGTGTGTGTGCGCGTGGCGGTGCGAGGAATACACACGCCCCACGGAGTGTCTCTATCCACACGCCAAATGTGCCACACATGTAGGTCCTACAGACACCATACACGCAAAACCAGGTGCGCACGCCCACCGCACATGCGCAGTGTATCTACGTCCGCTCCATGCGTACACTGCGCATCTACGTCCCCTCCATGCGTCCGCTGCTCATGCGCAGTGTATCTACGTCCCCTCCATGCGTCCGCTGCTCATGCGCAGTGTATCTACGTCCCTCCATGCGTCTAGCACACGTTTACCATAGATGCTGTGTGTGCTTCAAGGTGACCGCCTGTCACATGGCGACTCATAGATCGCAGAGTTGCTAATTGTCGCGTAACGTCACTATTGCGGTAGAAGAGTTGGGGTTCTTAAACTTCAGGGTGCCCGTGCGCCATTAATGAAGCGGCCTTACAGAACTTGGCTCCCCTGGTGTTCTTTGGTGACCCAGCCTTGATGGCACGTTCTCACTGGTTCCATTGCTGGGGCGGAAATCACATTAAACACAGTTTCCTGAGCCCTCAATTTCTGTTACTCCAGAATTCTTGATTTGGACCTGGTAGTGAGAGATGAAGATGGGAACATTTTGGATCCAGAGTTAACTAGCACAATCAGTCTCTTCAGAGCCCATGAAATAGCGTCTAAGCAAGTGGAAGAAAGATTACAAGAAGAGAAAGTAAGTCCGACCCCGCGAGGCGCTCGTTCTCTTAGTACAGTTACCGGCCTCGCCGACACATCAGTGGGGCCGGAATTTGGGCTGTGGAGGCCTGAGGCAGCCGGTGGCGTCTGTGCCTCTGCAGCGTGGGGGGTAGGCGCCACCCTCGAGCCGGCAGGGCTGGCGGCACCTAGTCTGTGTGCTCACGGGAGACTGGAGGCTGGTTTCCCCTTCGACTGGGGAGTGGTGTGAATCGTGACCCGTGAAGACAGGAACCCGTGTCCAGGCCACAAGCCGTGGCTCCGTAGCTCGTGGCTGAGATCCTGGGCGTAGCTCCCATGGCCTTGTGGCAGCGAGTGGTCCCAGCTGTTCTCAAATAGCGTGGCGGGCTGACCATGTATTCAGCACGCACTTAAGGTGCCCCTGGGTCCGGGTCCGGGCAGACAGACATGTCCCTGGGGGGCTGTTTCAGTTGGAAACCAATGAATGGCGATCGTCGTTCTCACTCGAGGCTCGGACAGGTGCATTTGTCCCTTTGAGGGACGTGTCCGAGCAGACTGCCCCAGGCTGCCTGTGCCCAGAATCCTGTGTTCGGCGGGGCTTGTGTGTTCTGGGCCCTGGACGGGGCGGATGACTGACTGCATGGGCAGTGTTGACGAGTCATTTCTATCAGCTGCTCACTGGCTGTTGATCTTGCCCTGCTTCTATTCCCGCTCACAGTCCCAGAGGCAGAACATGGACATCAACAGACAAGCGAAGTTTGCTGCTACCCCTTCCCTGGCCTTGTTTGTCAACCTCAAGAATGTGGTTTGCAAGATAGGAGAAGATGCCGAAGTCCTCATGTCCCTGTATGACCCTGTGGAGTCCAAGTTCATCAGGTCAGTGCTCTGCCCACTGCCCCCCTTCCTCTTTGCTTAGTGTCTCCCTGGCAGGGCCCTCGGGGTCATCCTCTGGACAGCCTCCAGGCAGCTGTACCCCTGCTCTTTCTGGGAGCGAGAACGGCTTTCAGCGGGCTCGTGGGTGTTTGGCGGCAACGCTACAGTCCGCCAAACTCTCAGGCTCTGCCGCAGAGCCTCAAGGGTCGGAGCTGTGCCCTGCTTTGTGGCACATTTGTTCTCTGTGAACCCCACTTCTCAGTCTTTGGATTACCGTGTTGCTCCAGACGGCTGGCTGGCTGTCAGTGCGCAGGACAGAGCTGTGGGGTTCAGGCTCCGCTGTTTGCTGAGCAGCACACCTCCATTTCCGCCACCCTGCCGTCCCTTTCTTACTTCTTTATGTTTGTCCCCGCAACTTGTCTTCTCCCAGGCGGAAAGCGACAGCGTGGTGCGTGTCTAAACTTCAGTTTCTCCGCTTGTATTAGTCAAGCTTTAAAAACTTAGTTTACGAAAGAAAGCAGAACAAGGGCCCCTCGCCCTCACCCCAGCAGCCCGTCCTGTCTTCGCCACGGGACTCGTCTGTGTTTCTGCCGTGCGTGTTTGGTCGGGCCCCGGGGCCAGCACGGCATTGACGCTGCGCGTGTACCCGGAGCCTCACCCCACGCTCGTACTGCGCCAACCGATGTGCTTTGCAAGTGCAGACTGCGCGGGGCCTGGGCCCTTTCAGAAAGCTGCCGGGTGCCCCAGGCTTCGCCGCTCACCTGCTCTTCTCTCTTCCCAGTGAGAACTACCTGGTGCGCTGGTCGAGCTGCGGGCTGCCCAAGGACATAGACCGGCTCCACCACCTGCGGGCCGTGTTCACCGTAAGTGCACCCGCGGGCCTGCTCTGGGCCCGCCTGCCCTCGTGCGGGGTCAGCGCCACCGCCGCATCCCTGGGCCTCGCGCTGGCTCTCGGCCAGAGCAGACCCTCCGGTGCCGGGCGCTGGCCGCCTTGGAACCGCCTGGCAGACGCCGCCCGCCGCCCCGTCCGCTCCCTGAGTGCCAGCTGCGGACGGTTGCGCAGCCCTCTCGCGCACGTGCTGCGAGGTGGTCGCAGCCCCTCCGTCCACCTTCGTCCACCTTCCTGTGTCTGTTTCAGCGGGACCTGCTTTGAGGAATGGTTCTGCCAAAGCACTGACAGAAATTCGTATCTCTAGGACCTTGGGAGCAAAGACCTGAAAAGGGAGAAAATCAGTTTCGTCTGTCAGATCGTGCGAGTGGGGCGCATGGAGCTGAGGGACAGCAACACGCGAAAGCTGACCTCGGGCCTGCGGCGGCCCTTCGGCGTGGCCGGTAACACCCTCCCACCCACCTGCTGCTCCCCAGCCTCTGCCTGCCGTCTCTGCAGACCAAGCCAAGCCGCCCTTGGCTTGGTGTGTCAGCTTTCCCACTGGGGAGGGAGGACGTACGTGCAGGCTCTTTGCCGAGCGGCTTGCTGCCCACGCCGCCAGGGCCGGCGCGGCGTCTCACACGTCCAGCCTGCGGTGGTGGGGAAGGCCGATTCTGGCCCACGCTCCCGGCCCAGAGCCGGGCTGGTCGCCAGAGGCTGCAGGCGTCTGCGCCCGGTGACTGAGGGAGGGGCGTGTCAGCATAGAGGCCAGGCGATGGGGAGCTGGGCTCCTGCCGGGGGACCCAGGCGCCCGTGGCCTTGTCGTGATTCTTGGGGTGCGTCGGCACGTGTGTGTAGGGGGGGTCTCAGTTCCTCAGTTTCTTGTATGCCGACCCAGGGAGACATCCTCTGCCTTCGCGAGGTCAGATCAGACTGTCCTTTCATGTCTTCAGTTCTGCTTGGCTTTCGTCTGTTTCCTGGATCCCAGTTTTGCCGCCTCCCGTCAGCGTGAGCTTTACACGTGCATACCGACTGCCTGAGACACGCAGCGGTGCACTGTGAACTTTTTACTTACCATGTAAAGCTCAGACCGTCGCAGCTGGTGCGCTGCTTCGGCCTCTTTGTGCTGGGGCTGTGGGTCCCTGGCGCGCGTCTCTGGGGAGGGAGGAGCCAGCGACATGGGGTGCGCAGGGTAGGGCGCGCCTGCCTTCTCCCCTGCGGGCTGCCAGGGCAGATGCCTCCTGTGGCCTGGCCTCGCCCCTGCCCGCGTGCTGTCACCTGCCGGCTGCGTTCATCGTGCCCGCCCCACCGCCAGGCCGCCGATGGCACGGCCTGCCTTTTCAGGCAGGCCTCACACCCGATCCTCGTGGAGACCCTGGGCGGTCAGACTGGGTGACTCCCTCCCCCTCCCGATCCTTTGCTTTCTCCTTTGGTGACAGATGAGTTCTAAGATCCATGTTCCCAGTCACAGAGCTGCCTGGCCCGGCCTGTGGGCCGGGAGCAATGAGGTGTCTCCTAGGACCAGTGGCTGCTGAGCCTCTCTGAGGCCTGGGCCCCTTCTTGGAAGCCCCTGCTGACCACCGCTGACCAGTGCAGTGGCTGTGTCCTGCCCAGAGTAGCTAAGTGCCTCCTTGTGCTCCAGGCCTAGAGGCTGCATTTGACCGGGTGTCCGGCCGACAGGGGCCCTCCAACACAGGCCCATGACAGGCCGGAGGGCTGCAGACACTCAGGAAGGCCCAGATTCCTGTGGGGAGTCCCCCAGGTTTAGAGGAGCCTTGCTGTGGTCAGAGTGGGACTGCTGCTGCAGAACTCGACTGGGCTTGGGGTCAGATCTGCTGAGACCCCAGCTGGAGGTAAAAAGGTGGTCTGAGGCCACGCACGGTGCCGGGTGCTGTGATCTGGCCCCAGCCCGTCGCCCGAGGCCAGAGCCTGGAGGCGGCTCCTGAGGCCGGTCCTGCTGTCTCCCGCACAGCAGTGTGCCATGTGGTTTGCGCTGCTCCGACCTTTGTCTCTTTGTCTCTACGTGTGTTCTCAGCTTTGCTCTGTGGGCGGTCCTGCTCCCAGAGGTGTGGGGTTGGTCCTTCCGGACCCATTGTGTGGGGAGGCTGCTGTTCTGGTCCTACAGTCCCATCCCCTTAACTTTGAGGTGTGGTGGGAGAAGTGCAAGGCCCCCGTATGTTCAGCACAGGAACGTGGTCACTGGGGAGCGATGATGGCGAGGGAAGGAGCCAGGGACACTACCTTTGGCTGGGCGTGAGGCTGAGCACAGGCCAGGTCCTTCGCCAGCCAGGGCCGCGGTGCCCGGCCTGCTGTGCCATCAGCACCGTGGACAGCGCAGTCTGGTCTGGCCTGGGGCTGCCTGCGTGCAGCCAGGCAGGGTCTTTCTTAACACAGGTGGGTGTGAACACGCCAGTCTCGCCTGTGCCGGTAGCCTGGGCCATCCGGGCGTCTGGGCAGGCGGCGCCGGAAGCAGGGGGAGCTCAGGCACCGGGCTCGCCAGCTTTGTGGCGTGGCCAGGGCACTCATCCCTGCCCTGACAGCCTCCCCACGGGTCCCTGAGGCGCTCGTGAGGCCTCGCTGCCGGTGTCCCTGGAACAGAGTCCCCGGGACACCCGTGCCCGTGCTTCCTCTTAGCCGCCGGGGCCAGGCAGTGCACGCTCAGCTCAGCAGCCCCGGCCGGCAGGGTGGCCCCTGCCACGTGTGACCGTTCATACGGCAGCGAATGAAGCCAGTAGGCATCCCGTCCTCCTCACAGCTGCCGCCTCAGTTGTTCCTGACGGAGAACGAAACCTTCTTCCTCAGCACAGAGTTCTGGTGGGCGGGGAGCGCTGGCTGTGGCTGGGATGACGGGAAACGCGTGTGTTCCGCGGCCGCTCTTTGCTGGTGTTCTCGGGGCTCACGTGTCACGCACCCGTGGAGATGCGTAGGACTTGACTTTTAGAAAATCCCACCGTCCGTTTACGCTGTTGTGGTCGGGAGACATGGGCTCCCTTTGCTTTCTGGGACGGCAACATTAAAGCCAAAACGGTTTCTCTTCTCTTCTTGTCCGCAGTGATGGACGTAACAGATATCATAAATGGAAAAGTAGATGATGAGGACAAGCAGCACTTCATTCCGTTTCAGCCGTAAGTATGGGGCAGACACTTGAGCAGACCTAGCGTGGGAAGCGTCTGTCTGTAGTAATCATCTCCGTAGTTAAGTTTAGAATCTCAGCACAGAGGGGTCTTGGTGATTGTGTAATGAAGAAAACATTCAGTCACCGCTCTGGAGTGTGGCATTTTGTGGCCACTAGAGTCCCGGGTTAAAGTTTATTTATGGTCTCGAAGTGGAGGATTTTACACGTGACGACACAGACTACAGAATTGCTATTCTACCCGAGCGCATTTCTCCCCGTAATTGACTTGTCGGAGGACGGGCTCACCTTGCCAATGCACAGCGCTCCCAAACCATCCCAGGAGGCAGCGGTGTGTAAAGGGGAAAACCCAATAAAACAGGGACAGGCGAGAAGGCTCAGAGGCAGGTTGCAGGCTGCTGCGTCTCTGTGCGGCCTGTGTGGGCTTCGCCAGTCCCGACACCCTCTGTCAAGGCAGGGGAGGCTGGAGAGGCCTCGGAGGAGATTCATTACATTCATTCTCTGACTGGAAGGCCCATTTCGTGGAAAGGCTGACAGTCGGGGTTACTTCCCTGGCGGTGACCGCAACTGTGGGCCTGGTTAATGGCCCGCGTAGCCTCAGGGGCCTCGGGCCCTCAGGCGCAGGCAGGTGGTGTCGGGAATGGACAGAGACAGCTTGCTCCGTGGGGAGGCCAGCAGAGCAGCGGGCGGCGGTCCCCGCCGGCTTCTCTTCTTTGTGTATCTGATGTCAGGCGGGGAACAGGGTGCGTCTTAGAGAGATTACCTTGTTCTCAGGTGCTGGCTCAGGCGGTGTGAGGCTGGTGATACTCGCTGGGAAATGGGGGTGAGGGCAGGCCAGGGGCCCCAGCCCTGACAGGCCGCCCGCCCAGCCTGGCTTTCCGAAACGAGGCGCGAGAGGTTTTCTCCGCCGCAGGCGCTGGGCACAGAGCCGGAGCGCCCAAGGCCTGGCCCGGGGCCGGTGTCGCGCCTCTCAGCACATGAACAGCAGGATCCCCGCGTGTTCAGGGAGGGTCTCCTGAGTGACGGGAGGCCAGGATCGCTGTGCTCGGATGCTTTAGCCTTGGCTTCTGTTCCATACGGGAACACAGGTGGCGGTTTAAAAGAATGGGAATGAAATCAAATGAAATGCTACTTTCCAGTCACAGCCCCATTTAGAGTGTGCTTACCCCAGGCGGCTGGCGGCGCCACGCTGGGCTGTGCAGCTGGAGGGCCTGTCCATCCCCAGAGCCCTGCTGGCCTCGCCGCAGTGATGCGAGGGGCAGGGAGCGCAGTACGGGATCCGGCGTTTCCTCAGTAAACAGGGGAAGCGCATCTCTGAACTCAGGCAGCTGCTGAGGTCTAGAGAAAACGCAGCTTTACAAATGCTAGTGTTAAGTCGCTTCTTTAGCACCGGCCTGCGGCTGCTGTGGCCGCTTAGGCCTCAGTCTCTTGATGTCTCTACCTCAGCCTGTGTTTCTGAGGTGCGAAGACCCGTTGCCTGCTAATGCCTGTGGGGGTCATCTTCTCAGGAGCTAGGGGAGTTCCTAGTTTTAGAGTCGCTACTCTGAATGCCCCCAGGACACACCCGCGTTTCTGGAAGCCGCCCCTCTTGTTTTGGCCTTTTAGTGAAATGTCCAATTTAAAAAATACTGGTCCCCGCTTAGCAAGTGCGGTGACTCCTCGCACCCCCAAAGCCAGGCCGATGCGCGGATGAGTCTTTGCAGCATGGAAACAGCAGCATGATTTCACTAGCAAAATAAGCTCTGAAACCTGTTGCTTGGGAAGTGCCCTCTCGATGAAACGGTTTTATGCTCCCTCAAAACGGATTTATTTGATGACAGGAGCCGTTGTAGGGGCAAAGGCACAGTGTGCGTTTCGGCTCTGCCCCTCAGGCTGGCGAGGGGAACAGAGCGGCGCAGCCTCAGCTCTTGTGAGGGTCTGGTGACGAGTAGCGCCGCCCTTTTTTCTTAGAAGTCTGTGAGACGCCGTGTACGTCACTGACTTCCTTGCTCCTCCATGCTCAGTTTTTTGTCTCTGTGACATCGTCTCCGCAGGCTGCCCGCTGTTTATGTTCCTGATCCTGCGTAGCTTCCCTTAGCAGCTCTGGCCCCGGGCTAGCCGGCACGGCCACTGGCCTTTGCGGCTGCAGCTGTGTCCTCCAGGGGCCAAGCTGTTCGGTCCCGGTTTGAGAAGCGGAGGCTCAGCTGAGTGTAGGCCGAGCCTGGGGGCGGCCGCCCAGCTCCCGCCCGCGCCTCGGTCAGAGGGCGCTTTCTTTTCTGCTGTCACGATCTTGCCGCCCGTGAACCACCGGCCCCTTGACCGAGGCCGCGGGTGGGATTCCTGAGGCCGAAGCCATGGCCCACAGCCCTTGGCGTTACGTGCTGTCTGTGTAGGTGGTTTTCAGAGAGGTTCCCTGGGTCACCGCTGTCCGAGTCAGAGCAGGGCCCGGGTGGATCCTTGCTTACTCGGGGTTGGGCGGCTCGTGTCGGTTCTGTCGCGTGGCTCAGCCTTTCCCTGATCAGTGCTCTTCCCTGTCTCCCTTGTCACCTACCCTGTCTTCGTTGTGCGTTGACTCGATGCCTCTTGCACTCGGTGACGATGATCTCTTGTGTCCCTGTCCCGTGCCCTCGGGGTCTCTGCCCCTTGTCTCCTGTGGTCTTGCTCGTCCCGTGCCCTCCAGGCTCGCGTTGGACGACGCCATTCGACACAAGCCGCTGAACATGTCATCCCGTTTTTCACCCAGGGTGGCAGGGGAGAATGACTTCCTTCAAACGGTTATAAACAAAGTCATTGCTGCCAAAGAAGTCAACCACAAGGGCCAGGGTATGTATTCTGTACGCGCACTTCTTGGTTTTCATAAATGTCTGTTTATGTCAACTTGACGCGCGTGCTGTGGTGTGTGTGCATTTCAGTGTGATCGTGAGGAGGAGGGCGGTGGTGGTGGCGGTGATGGTGATGGTGACGGCGATGGTAACGGTGGTGGTGAGCAGAGAGGTGATGCTGGTAATAACGGTGCTGGTTGCTGCTCATGACGTGATGGTGATGCCGGTGACGAGAGTGAAGAGGATGGTGGTGGAGGTGGTATACGGTGATGTGCTGGATTACACCATGGACTGAGAACTTTCTTGCTGATCACCTTTCTGAATATTGCTGAGAGCTAGCCTGAGAGAGAGGGGAAGACTGAGTGAGATGCAGTGAAATGTTGGGAAAGCGCCCGAGCTGACTGGACAGGCAGCAGCTGTCCCTTTGCCCCTCTCATCCTGGCTGTTTCTGAAAGCCCGCTGGTGACTTCCTGCAGGAGGCACTGGTCATCCACTGCTCTTTCGGCCCCTGCTCAGAGGAACTCGGACCTCAGGCCTGTGCCCCCTCCACTGCCCTCCTCTGTTTCCCCGTACACACGGGGGAACATTGACCACGGCCACATGCCGCCCCCGCCAGGAGAGAGCCCCGTGTAGCGGACTGATCCCCTTTGCCTTGCCATGGAAGAAGGGGGTCCTCGTCGCCTGCTGCCTCTTGCAGCCCTCATTGTTCAGTCCCACTCTGACAAGGTTCCGAGCAGCTGACCGGCTGTTGGCAGGGGCCGTGAATCAATCACCGGGCCGCTGACAGTTGGCACCAGGCTGGCTGGGAGGGCTGCCAGCAAGCGAGTCGTCTGAGACCTGCCTCCAGACCGAGGGGAGGTGACCTTCAGCAGGTGCGCCTGTGGCTGCTGCGAGCCCCATGGAAAGGCCACGCCTCGGTCCGAGATTGAATGTGGCCTTGCGGCAGACTGGGCGGGCCTCGGGGACAGTGCTCGCCACTCCTGTCCCGCTGTTTTGGGCGAGTGAGTCTGAGCAGTGTTCTGGAGGAATGAGGAGTCTTTGCATTTCTTTTGGCATGAACCGCCTCCCCCCCACCCCCGTGGAAAAAGAAAATAAAGCCCCCAGCCCCAGTGACACCGACATGAGACTTCTGTAGGCAGAGCGACTTAAAGCCGCGCCAGGAGCAACTTCTTGTAAACCTGTCTCTCAACGTGCACGCAAGCTGAGCTGAGGCGTGGGGCGAGCCCTGAATGGAAATGAACCCTCAGGCGTACCTTGCAGCGCAAGGGCCGTTCTCGCCCAAGGGCGACCCTGAGCCCCGGAGCCCAGAGCCCCTGACTGTAGGGCAGCAGGGAGTGAGCTGCCCCGACTGTGGCTTTGCCTGGCGGAGCCCTGGGTTCCGCATTCAGCGTCCAGGCTCGCCCTCCCCCCACCTCCCGGAGCTGCGGGCGCCTTCTGGGAGGGGAGCCGGTGGTTTCCACGCTCCCGCTGGATCTGCTCCTGCCTCTGCTGGGACTTGTGCGCCCTGGCCTGCGGCTTGTCAGTGTCTGCCTGTCACGATCGACAGCCTCTTCTGTAGTCAGCCCGTGATCCTGCAGCCCGCACTCCGGGGTGCTGGTGTTTCACATAGATAGCGGCTTCTGGAGCACCCGCAGCTGCTTCCTGACTCTGGGGGTGGTGCGCTAATGCCTTCGCGTTTTGTCATTCCGATTAAGCCAAAGTCAACCTCAAAAGCACTTTTTCCTTTAAAGTCAGCCCCATTTCTTTGCGGAGGTAAGTGTTTTAAACCCAGCCTCATCAGGAGAAAGTTACTCTGTGTAAATGGCGGATAGCAAACTGGACCGTGGATTCAGACAGCCGCGGCGCGGGCGGCAGCGAGACCGCAGAGGCGTTGGAGGCTCTTAGCGCCGCTGGGAACCGGGCTTGAGCCTCGCCTGCTCACCTTGACTCCTGCACGAGAGCGCACCCCTCGCTCCGAGTCCGCGCCCTCTGCGCAGCTGGCCGGAGGTGTGGGGCTCAGTAACTTAGGAGCTGCAGAGCTCCTAAGACCCGGTGCCCCCGGTGGGGCCAACTCGTAACGCCGGCAGAGCCAGGCGTGGGCGCTGTCCCTCGCGGGCCGTCCACTGGGCTGCCCTCTGGCCCGGCCTGCCACCGGCCTGGGGGGGTTTATAACAGGGACTGGCCCTGGCGGGCAGCGCAGGCGGCCCCGGGCCCGCGGCACAGGCCTGGCGTCCCGCCAGAATCCTCCGTGTGGGGAGCATGGGTTCTGTGCACCCCCAGAACCGCGCTCTTCTGATTTGCCTCCATGTGCAGCACCCTGGGAGGGGTCCGGCTGGCTCCGCCCCTCCTCGGCCCAGACCCGCGGGGCTCCCTGCGCCGGGCCCCGGCCCGCTCCTGCTTGCTGTCTCTTACACACCCGCCCTTTCTCCTGTGACGTGAGTTGAAGGCGCCTCATTCAGTGAAGCTGGTCTTGTGAAGACATGGGTGGCCAGGACCAGCGTGGCTCATGCACCCCTTGTTTTTCTAGGTTTGTGGGTTACGCTGAAACTGCTCCCGGGAGATACTCGCCAGATCAGGAAAGAGTTTCCTCACTTGGTGGACAGGACCACGGCCGTGGCTCGGAAAACGGGGTTCCCGGAGATAATCATGCCTGGTAAGAGCAGGCCCTCGGGTCTGAGTGTGGCCGTGCTGCGGCGCTGGGCCTGTTCTGCTGGCCAGGGCCAGCGTCTGGCCACATTGCTGAGTGTGTGGCCAAGGGATGAGCCCTGGCGCCCCCCGGGTCCCTCCCGAGTTGTCAGCAGGACCAGAGAGACCCGCGGGCCTGGGGGAGGCGCTTCCGGCCCCTTGGGGCGTGTGACGGCGGCCTGGCGGAACTGGGGCCGGGCCGGCGTGAGGACGTGCTGTGTCCTCCGCGTGGCCGCAGACGCCCTCACCATGGCCGCGCTGCTGTCTCCTGGCCCGCGTGCCTGCGCCAAGGGGCTCTGACTTGCCCTCTGCCCCGGCTGTGGGCTCAGGGCTGCTCGGGGGGCCCCCGGGCCACTGATGCAAGCGAGGGGTGGCGCGGCCTCCGCCGCGGGCTGTCACTGCAGCCGGGCGGTGCCTCGACACGCTGACTTAGGTCCCAGTGACACGCCGCCCTCGCGGGCCCGGGACAGTGCTGGACGTCCAGCGCAAGTTCAGGGGCAAGGCTCCCGTTGGGGTGGACACCCAACCCCAAGGGCCCCAGGCCAGGGTGGGTTCAGCACCTCCCCACTGCAGGCGTCCACAGCCGGCAGCTCCAGCCCTGGGCCCGGCGTGAGGAGAGCTCGCTGCTGCCCGCTGGTCTTGGCACCCTCCCTGAGGAAGGGCAGGAGGGAACCTGCTGACCCCAGGTTGGCCGGAGGTAGGGCGCATAGGGTGTAAGTGACAGAAACCCGCGCCAGCCCTGACGGCTGGCGCCCCGGGACGCTCGTGGGCCCCGCGGGGGAGGCCGGGAGAGTGAGGGCCGAGGCGCGCCGGTGCCTCATCCTCAGCCCAGCCCGCGGCCCCCAGTGTCCTGAGTGGGGGGCAGAGCCTGCGGCCCCCATCTTCCCGAGCCCGTGTCTAGGGTGGGGGGTGCCGTCACGCGCGAGCGCCTTCCCACGGCTGTGAGCAGGGCGACGGGCCGAGCCCCGACATTGGCGGCCCGCTGGCTGCCTCCCCAGGGCTCTCTGCCCCGCGGCACGTCTGCCCGCGCAGGGCCGAGCTGTGGCTCCTGCGTGGCGGCAGTCCGGACGCGCCCTTCCTGGGCTGCGGGGCTGCGGGCTGCGCGGTGCAGACCTCTCACCTGGGCAGGTGAGTCCCTGGGCTTACCCGAGCGGGAAGGGGGGTGACCCTGGCCAGTGTGCACCCGCTGCCTGGGGCCCGGCAGGGTGTGCAGGTCCGGTGGACCGCGAGGGTGCGTGACCTGCATTTGGATTTGTCATCAGGGCAAAGACGTGGCGCTCTCGTGTGCGTAGCTCGGCCTCGGGTTCGGGGGTCACCCAGGGACCTCCACACTGGCCTGCTTTCCTGACGGCTGGTGTGCCTCAGTGGCTCTGAGGATAGACCCCTGATGCTTCCCGGCAGGCTCCGTGTGCGGCTTTCACCTACGGGTTCCCGGAGGGGCGGGCTGGCTCCGCAGTCACCCCGGGGTTTGCCCTGAGGGGAGAGGTGGTGGGGCCTCACTCAGACCCCGCCTTCTGCTCAGCTGCGCACCCTTCACCTGCTCGACCGCCCGGGGGCATCTCCTGTGCAAGACGGGGAGCTTGCACCCCTCCAGGACTCTTCTCCTCTCATCATTCCAGGGCCCTGGTGGGAGGCAGAACTCCCTGGGAGGTGGCAGGGATGGGCCCAGGGACGCTCTCCGAGTCCCCCAGCTCCGACCTTCCCAGCACAGACCCCGAGGCGTTGGCGAGGGCCCCTGGTGTCACCGCCAGCGCGCCGACCACCCACCCTGCCTTCCTTTGGCCGTCCCGGCACGCGGGTCCCCCAGTGAGACCGGGCTTTGCCGCACCAGCGCCCCGGCCTCGGCGCGGAGGCCGACTGTGACCCACCTCTGTCTGAGGCGGTCTCGGGGCCTGGGGGCGAGGCCGCAGGGCCGGGGCTGTGCTGCTCTCGGCGGGTGGCGGAGGGCGGCTGACGCGTGGCCCGCTTGGCAGGGGCAGGGACGCAGCTTTTGCTGCCAGCCGCGTCGTGGCGGGGGCAGCGACCCACTGGGGAGTCATAGTAATGGCTTTTAAATGGCATCTTATCTTAATAGCTGGAGACATTAAAAGTCAGACTAAAGCAGTGAAGAAAACCAAGTTGGAAAACAAGGCCGCGAGGGGGTCGCGCATTCTCAGGGATCCTCGTCCTGCGGCCTGTGGCTCTGTGCTGCCCTGGGTGGGACTGTCCCTCCGTCCCCTGGTCTGGGGCTGCCCCATGGCATGGCCAGGACAGCGCCCGTGTGGGTGGCGCTTGCTCTGGATCGGGTCATCAGCCCCGAGGACACCCAGGGGTCCCGGGCGACCCTGTCACTGCGTGACCCCAGCAGGGCGAGCGCTCAGCTCATGGGGTGTGTGGTGTGTGGGTGTTGGATGTGGTGTGTGATGTGCTTGGGTTTTCAGTGCCCGGCTCCCTTCTCCCTGGGCCCCACTCAGGGTCATGCCACTGCCTGGCCTGCCAAGGTGAGAAGCTCCGTCAGAAAGTTTCGCTCTGGAAAGTCCACTCCTCCTCCTGGGCCCCTCTCAGCTCTGGTCTCCGTCGCCCGCCCTTCTGTTCACCCTCAGAGGGACGCAGAGGGGCCTGTGCCCAGCGGCCACCCGGGTGCTGTCGTGTTCCTTGGCCTCTGGGCCTCGGTGACCGAGTCCCGGGCCTGAGGTGGCCGTGACCACTTGTCAGACCTGGGTTGCTCCGGGGTGGCCGGTGGCTCTAGGGCTTGAGCCCTCGGCCCGCTGCCTGCACAGGTGCGGAAGCGCCAGGTGAGGAGCCCAGAGGCGTGGGGCCGGACGCGCCCCTCCTTCCTGCACGCCTCGGGGTTGCACGTGCCTTACAGAAAGGCCTGAGCGTCCGGCACGCAGCACCCGCAGCGCCGGCCAGCCGCGGGCTGTCCTGAGAAGTTCCCGGCTAAGCTGTGTGTAAGGGATTGCGCGCGCATGAAGGTCTGACTTTCCCCAGGTGATGTTCGGAATGACATCTACGTGACGTTGGTCCAAGGAGACTTTGACAAAGGAAGCAAGACGACGGCCAAGAATGTCGAGGTCACCGTGTCTGTGTATGACGAGGACGGCAAGCGGCTCGAGGTGCCTGTTGCGCGCGTCTAGCCTGCGCTGCGGGCTTTACTCAGGGGTTGCCGCTCTTGGATGCAATGCGGCCGCTGGCTCCTTCGCTGGAGCCTGACCTGAGAGGCTGCTGTCCTGGCAGCCGCTGCCCCGTGGGGGCCCGTGGTCCTGACCGCCCCCCTTGGCCAGTCCTGTCGCGGTACCTCATTGGCCATCGTGAGCTCTGGGCCTGGTCCGGCGTCACCCTGTATGTCCAGATGGCCTTAGTGTCGCCCCCTGAGAGCTGCTGGAGCCCAGGTCGGGCGGGGCTGGGCTGAGCTGGGCCTGGCCCCGGTCCTTCCCGGCGACCTCCTGCCGGTCACAGCAGCCCACAGCACGGTGCAGGCACATGCCTGTGGCTGCGGCCCCAAGGACCTGCATGTAGGCGTAGAGCAGCGGTCCCCGCCAGCCCCTCTGGACCCAGGCTGGCGGGCTGAGCCCAGCAGTGCCCAGGGGTGTGCCTGAGGCCCAGCTGTGCCTGGAGGGCCAGCCGGGCTTCCGCCTGGAGTCAGGCAGTGCGGCCCCTGGCTCTGGGTCTAGGTGGGGTCAGCAGCTTGGTGTTTACGGGGAGGAGTAGGTGGGAGGTGGCACTCCCCCTCGCCTGTGTCCCCGTACTGTAGACCTCCGAGTAACTCAGCGCCACCCTGCAGAATCTCAGGTTAAAGTGATGAGGGAGCGTGGGGTGCGGGGCAGGGCCCGTCAGCGTGTGGTGTCCACGCAGCTGGCTGGGAGCCCACTGCCGGCACGTTGTGGTGCTTGGGGACAGCATTCCCACTGCACTGTCCTTGCGTTGAGCGTCTGGAGGGCCGTGCCAGGCTCACGCGGCTGATGTGAGCTCTCTGTGCTTTTTAACAAGCATGTGATTTTCCCGGGTGCCGGCGATGAGGCGATTTCGGAGTACAAGTCGGTGATTTACTACCAAGTGAAGCAGCCACGCTGGTTTGAGACCGTCAAGGTATTGGCACGGCCTTCTGCCCTGCGGGGATGCACGTTTGTTGCCCAGGGATACGCTGCCCCCACCTCTGGGTGCCTGTGGGTGGGCGCCCCGGCAGCCGGGCGTGCTCCGCAGAGGCCTGCGAGGTGCCCAGGGAACCAGGCTGGCGTCTCTGGGAGGACCTGTGCTGCTCTCTCCTTTGGGACACACACAGGAAGTCCGGGGAGACCAGTGACAGCGCTCCACAGAGCTGGCTGTCCTCTCCCGGCGGCTGGCGCGAGCCGCCGCGTCACGGGGCAGGGAGGCCAGGTGGAGCCTTCGCCCGCAGGCCCTGCCCCGGCTGCCCGCGCTTTGACGCCTGGTGCCTGCCAGCAGGAGCCGCCACGGTGCCAGCAGCCCATGCGCCAGGGCTGGGTCTGCCTCCTGGAACGCGCCGGAGGCAGGGATGGGCGGCTGGGCTTCAGGGCCCGCGTGCTGGCTGGGCGGGTCGCGGCCCCGCAGGGGATGAGCAGGGCCGCTGCAGCCCTTAAAGAGCGCGCGGCCTGAGGTCAGCCCTCCCGCAGCGGACGGCCCGTGGGTCGGGCTCCTGCGCAGGCGCTGAGGCCCGGGAGGGCCGGGGGCGCGTCCTGAGTCCGGCCCTCTCCCCAGGTGGCCATCCCCATCGAGGACGTCAGCCGCAGCCACCTGCGCTTCACCTTCCGCCACCGGTCCTCCCAGGACTGTGAGTAGCCCTCGCCCTGTTCCCCCTGCATGGCTGGGGCAGTGGGGGGGGGGGCTCCCCGGCGCCCCGTGCCCTGACTCTGAACCGTTGTGACGGCACGACCGCGGTTCCTTGACGCTTCAGCCCGCTGCCACGTCCTGGGGCCCTTGTGGCGAGGCCCCGCCTGCCAGGCGGCATGGGACCCCTTCCTCCTGCTCGTGCGCCCCGTACCACCGCCTCTCATCCCCTACTGGGGTGCAATCCGTGCGTCACAGGCACCCAGAGCCACGGCACACGGACCTCACACGTGGCTTGTGGCGCTCCTGGCGCTGGCACCCAGTTTCCATGATTGTGCGGCCCAGTGTCGGGGCTCGGCCCAGCTTGTCTCAGGCGTGGTGTGCCTTTGCTGCGTGATGGGGCTCGGAGAAGCCCTGGGCATCCTTCACCCCCTCGCCTGCCGTTGACTGAAGTTTGCCTCGTCACACATGTTGGCTTCGGTATCGGGATGGAGCTTGCACCAGACTCGGGAGCGGGTTCCCGCGGGAGACAGGCTCCCTGACCCCGGGCCTGGGGTGTCTGGCAGGGCCGGTTTGCGAGGGGTGGGCCACGTTGGGGGGCTGCGCCCAGAAGCCATGCTTCTCCGTGACGACCCTGGGGAGCGCCATCTAGCTGAGCCTCTCTTCCCCATGCCCGGGCCAGGCCATAGACGTGCAGGCTGCTGGTCCTTTTCCTGGTGCACATTGGGGCACCCCAGAACCCCTGCTGCGGGGATCACGAGTCCATCCTCCTCAGCTCAGTGTCTCTGCAGGCCTGGCTGGATCCCGGCTCTCCCCGGGAGCCCGAGAGCATCTTGGGTGGGAACCCACGGGCCAGGGCGTGGCGCTGAGTCAACGGGACTCCTGAGGGGCCGGGGACAGCCAGGCCCCACTGTCACCCCGAGTGGTGGAGGTGCTGCGTGTGGCGCAGGCTGCTGTTGGGGCTGCATCCTGTCCCCTGCGAGCCCAGTTGTGCGGCTTTGGGGTTCCGTGTCTGGCCTCCGCTCCTCAGCTCACCTTGGGCTCAGGCGTGACCATCTCCTGGAGGGACGCCTCCAGCCAGCCCATCCGTCATCCGGTCCCCAACACCATCAGTCACAAATCCCCACATTTTCTTTCCTTTGTCATCTGAAATAACTGGTTTACTGGTTCCCTGAATGGCAAACCCTGACTGAGGTCTGCTGCCCGCCCTGGGGCAAGGCCGGGAGGAGCCCAGCGACCTCGGTGTCGCGTGACACGTGTGGGGGTCAGTGCACTCACGGGGACTCGCTGTGCCCGAGGCGGCGAGGGCCCTCTCCTAGGCCATCGGGCTGCTGACACGAGGCCACGGACGGCAGCCACAGGCGGGAGTTGACTTCCGCAGCCCTGGCGGTGGGCAGGCGACCCGGTGCTGGGTAGGATGGCCCCGTGGCTGCGGGAGGCGCCTCCTAGCTGTGCCCCTGGGGCTCTGGGCCGCCTCCCTTGGTGTGGGATCGAGCCTCAGCTTGGGCACCAGGTGGGCGCAACCCGGTCGGGGTCTTCGCCGGGGCTCAGGACAGGTGGCCGGGAGGAGCAGGCCGTGGCGGGTGCAGAGGGGCTGCTTCCGGCGGGTGCCCTGGGAGCGCCTGGAGAGGAGCGAGGCTGCGACCCCCCTGCAGGCAGGGGACCCTCCTACTCTCTGTCTGTGTCTCTGTCACTGCCTGGGTGGCGAGAGGCACGTGCCGCCTCCGTCCGGGGGTCAGGCTGGGCCTTGCCGAGTGGCCCGTGCCCCTGTGGCCTGTCACGGCATGCATCTTGCTCGTCCCTGCGTGGCGCCGTCTCTCTCACCCACCCGTGTCCCGCTCATAGCGGGCCGTGTCACCCGCTCACCCTGGGGTGCGACAGTCTCGCTCCCGCCACCCTCCTCTGCTGCCAGCTCACACTCCCTGGCCCCTCCTGCTGTCCTGTGGGGTCCCTGGATGTGCTGGTTGTGCCGTGGTGCTCCCTGGTGAGCCCCCGCCTGGCAGGCCCGGCCCAGCTCCCCATGGGCACCTGGGGGCGGTCGCGCTGCGCCCTGGGACAATGATCGCGTGTCTGTTGCAGCGAAGGATAAGTCAGAGAAGATATTCGCGCTGGCGTTCGTCAAGCTGATGCGATATGACGGGACCACGCTGAGGGACGGGGAGCACGACCTCATCGTCTACAAGGCATGCCCGGTGTCCGCGTTGACTGGCGGTTCGCGTCCCTCTGACCACCTGGCCCGGGCTGGCCCCCCGGGGGGTGGAGGCCGCTGTCCTGTCTCGCGGCACTTGATGCCATGGCTCGGGGCTCCTGACGACCGGGAGGCGTGCGTGAGCCCGTGGTGCCGCCTGACAGGCGCTCGGCGTCAGCTCATCCACGGGAGGAGGGAAGGCCCAGGGCACAAGTGACAACCGCACACTGGGGTGGGGAGAGATGGCGGAGACCTCGGGCGGCTGGCGGGGAACTCACTGGACGCGGTGCCCGGTTGAATCCGCAGGCCGAAGCCAAGAAGCTGGAGGACGCTGCCACGTACCTGAGCCTGCCCTCGACCAAGGCGGAGCTGGAGGAGAAGGGCCACTCGGCCACGGGCAGGGGCATGCAGAGCCTGGGCAGCTGCACCATCAGCAAGGACTCCTTCCAGATCTCCACCCTCGTGTGCTCCACCAAGCTGACCCAGAACGGTGAGTGGCCCCGGCCCTCCCAGCCGCCCTCCGCACGCGCCGGCGTCCGTGCGTGGGCAAGCGGCAGCGGCCGCTAGCGGGCGCCCGTTACGGCCCGATGATGACCGCTGAAGCAGTAAGTCAGTGAACGGACGCCTCGGAAAGCTTTTGGCCCAGTAATTGAGGGGTGACATGCGGGGTTTGGGTCGGGCAGAGCTGGGGTTGGGCCCAAGTGCTGCGCCCGCCCCGGGGCTGACTGCAGCGAGGGGCTCTGCCTGCTGAGCCTCCTTGCCCGTTCCACCTGCCAGGCGGTGCGGCCGCCTCGGGCTTCCGTGAGGCTCCGCGGGCCGTGGGAGCCGGCGCCCCTCCGTGTCTCCCCCTCTGAGATAGCCAGTCGTCTTTATCTCCCTGAGTGTGTTGCGACCACACGTTGCTGCCCTGCCTGCCCACCTTTGGGGGTCCCTGCCGGCCCCAAGGTGGCCGGAGTCCGCACCCGGCTGTCCGGCCAGGCTGCTTCTGAGGCAGAGCACACGCTGCAGGAGGCGGAGGCCCCCGCCAGATCCGGCACGTACACGCTGCGCCCCGAGTGTGACCGCATCTTGGCCCGCGTAGCTGCCCTGCTGCCCCTGGACGCGCCTCCTGACTGCCCCGTGAGGTTCTGCTGCCCCAGGCCTGCCGCCCTCGTGAGCAGTGCTCCTGGGCTTGTCGTGGCTCCTTGGGGCGCCTGGCGGCACAGCCCTGGCAGGGGTGTGCGGGTCCTGCCCTGCTGCCTGCAGCTGGCACAGGCCCCTCACATGTGGCCTCTGGGCCACGCTCTGACCTGACCATTGCCATCGGTGCCGGAGGTGGGGTGAGTAGCTGGAGCTGCCGCCCTGCAGTGACCCCCACGAGGCCTTCAGGCTGCTGCCCTGACCCCAGCACAGGCCGGAGGGTGCCCAGAGTGGCCGGCTGAGGACGGGGCACAGAAAATGTGTCCTCAGGTCCTCGCTGGCCCGGTGGCCATGCTGTCCACCTGGCCGGCCCAGAGGCTGCTGCTCCCAGTGAATCACTACCCGGGCGGGGCTCAGCTCTCCAGCAGGCGCCCCACAGTGGGCGCTGCTGAGCTCCCGCCCGTCCCTGTGCGGCAAGCGCCATACGTGGGCACGTTGCAAAACACGCCTGCCTCTGTTATTTGGAAGGTGATGCCCTTTCCCATCCGACGAGGCTCCTGAAGAGCGGTTCCCCGGCGCGCCCACCCACAGAGCCCTCCCAACCGCAGGGTGCCAGAAAGGTGGGCTGGGGACCAGGAAACCCCAAGGGGTTAAGTCACACCTCCCCTGGGGTGGCTGTACCCTCTGCCACCCCAGCTCCAGGGCTCAGCAGCCACTGGGTAACCCCTTCCTGGCGCCCGCGAGGGTGCCCGCCCCCGGCTGTGGTTGCCTGGAGACGGGACGTCCCGAGCGGTGCTGCCGCGGGAGCCCAAGGGGCCTCGCCGACTCCCGTTGCGCAGCAGCGGCGGCGTGTCGGGTGTGCAGAGGGGGCTGCCCCCGCTGGCACGCGGGCCTGGCCAGGCTCTCATTTCAGGGAGTCATTTTCCTGAGAGCTTGATTTGTGGCCGCAGAGTCCCATTACTTAGGGAAACGCGGCAGCTGAATTATTCATCAGGGTTTGTATTAAAGTCCCGGCTCTCAGCTTGAAGCGGGATGTTCCGGGCACAGGAAAAGACACAGAAGATGGGATTCCTCCTCGATTAACTGAGCCGCTGATGAGAGCGAGGCCGTGCAGTGGGTTATGATGGGACGCTGGAGGCTTGGGCCCGGCCGGAGGAGCGCGGCGGGGGCGGGCTGGGCTCCGGCCCCGCATCACCCGGCCGCTCCCTGCCGAGGGCTCGTGGTCTGCCAGCGTGTCTACAAGTAGCCCCCCGAGGTCAACTTCGGCCGGGCCGTGTCCAGGGGGCTGTCACTGTGCGTGTGTCCCCACAGAGGTTGTCGCTTGGGCCCCACAGAGAGGCGAAATCCCCTCCGCTCTGGGGTGTCTTGGAAGGCGGCCGCTCACCCTGGGACCTAAGTGGCTGACCTCCGCGGGTCGCCGGGGTCTGGGTCCTGGCCCTCTCCCTGCCGGCCTCCCCACGGGGCCGCAGGGTGCTCAGGCCCTCCCGCCCGGCTGTTCTGGCAGCATCGTCCCGATATTGAGATCTGGAGCCGGGGTCACATTGCTGCTGGTCTGTCTCGGGGCGCCCTGGCTACATCTCCTCTCACCTTCCTGGTGTCGCTGCCTCTGCCGGCTGCTCCCGGGGCTGAGGTCACACGGACGCCAGGGCGAGATTCAGCAACCGCCCCCCCCCCCCCCCCCCCCCCCCCCCAGCTCTCTTGGCGGCTTGAGCCCTTGAAGTTCACTTGGGTCCTGGATTCTCCCTGTTGCTCAGATTCTGTTTTTCTCTCCCATCTGCACCAGGGTTTCCTTGGGGAGGCCGTGTCTAGCCCACACGTGTTCCCCCCGAGGGTGCAGGGCTCCTGGGGTCCCCCGGGGGTCACAGTAATGTGACGGCACAGGAGCCCGCGGGCGCCGCCCCCTCGCGGCTGTGGGACCGGCTGCGGTCTTCTGGCGTGACGTCACGTCCAGACCGCCGCGTTGTGTCTGCCATTTCACTGGTAGAAAACAGCCAGCCCTGAGCTCAGGGACAGGACCAGGCCCCGGTGGGCGGCGGGCCTGGACGGGCAGGCGTCCCCACCCTGGCGCTGGCCTTTGCCACGCTTGCTTGATATTTAAGAACTTGGGTGCCCGCTCGTGGGCAGGGCCCTGCCGCGCGGGACAGTGGCGGCACGGGGAGCCTCTGCGCCCATGTGGGAAAGGCCCATCCCGGCCCTCAGCTTCAAGCAGGCCAGGGAGCCGTCTCATGGCGACCGCAGTCGGTCATCACGAGGCCGCCGCGCGGCTGGCCCCGCGGGGTAGTGGACCCTTGGCTGGCGCCTTTCCGGGTCCAGGCTGGTTCTTCTGCACCGGGAAATGTCTGGGCTCCCTGTGGACACGGCGGGCCCGGCCCTGGGCCACCCCTGATGGGCCTCTCTTTGCAGTGGACCTCCTGGGGCTCCTGAAGTGGCGCTCCAACACCAGCCTGCTGCAGCAGAACCTGAGGCAGCTGATGAAGGTGGACGGCGGCGAAGTGGTGAAGGTAACTCGGCCACCCCCTCCGGCCCCCAGCACGGGTGGACAGCCGGGTGCCTCCTGGCGAGTCGGGGTTGGGGCGATGCCTTTCAGGGGTCAGAGTGTGACCCCACCTCTGCCTGGACAGTCCCTCTGGAGCAGCGGTCTGGAGGGCGGTGGCTTCCTGCCAGGAAATGGGCCTGGGAATCAGCCCCGCCAGGGGTCTGGTCCGGCGGGTCCTGCTGGGGGTGTGGCAAAGTTCCCCAGCCCCCAGAGGCTCTCTCCTGCCGCCGCGTGGACATGGCCTTTTGCGGGATGAGAGGACAGGTGGTGCCGTGAGTGGCCCGGGGGGCTGTGGACTCTCGTCATCCTCAGAGTGCTTGCCCTCGTGTGGAGCCGGCTCTGATGGCCCCAGAACTTCTGCAGCTGGCCTGCGAGCTGTGTGCCAGGGCGGAGACGCCCAGTCCTTGGCGCAGTCGCTCTTCGCAGCCATTCCTGGCCTCTCGCGGCGCTGCTTGGCCCTTCCTGGCCATTCTCGCCGCCTGGATCTTGACTCACTTCGCAGCCCCCGCAGAGCGGCTCTCCAGACCTGACCTTTAAAGAGGCCCTGCAGCCTTGCCCTCCCACACCTGCGATAGGTGGAGCTTGCCGGAAGCATGTGGAGTGGAGACAGGCCGGCCTGTCGGCCCTCGGGGCCCCGCCTGGCCCTGGCCGCTGGGGCGGACGCCGCTGTTGCTCCGCCCTCCCGGGCGCGGCTTCCTAGTTCCTGGGGACACCCGCTCACGGCAGTCAGGTCCTTGGGCTGCCGCGGAGCTCTGGTCCTCGTGGCGGACCTCTGGCCAGGGCCCCCAGGAGAGGCGCTGGCCTTACCCCTCCAGGAATTCATTACCGAAAGTTTGCGTGCAGAGCAGCAGTGTGGTTAGCGTCACGGAGATGAAGTGGCTGCGCCACCTTCCTGGACCCAGCGCACTCTGTCTTCCCACCTGAGCCATGGCCCTGCCCCGCACTGGCTGGCATCACGTTAATTATTAACATTTTAACCAGCTCAGGGTTCTACGTATTCTCTGGTCCAGATGGAAACCGGAACCCTCGAACATCTCCTTAGCAACACAGACCCGGAATTGCACCCCCTTCCTTTGTGAGCACCTGTGGTCCTGGGGTTCACGCGCTTCCGGGAGCCCGTCGGCCTCACCAGGACGTGTCTTGGGCGCCCACCCCTGACCAGTGTGCTTCACCCCGTGCGGTCCGTTTCTCAGCTCTCCCTGCTGTGTAGATGGTGCAGTGCCCTCGAGTCTGGCTGCCACCTCCTGTGCCAGGGCCCCGGGGGCCCGGAGAGCCCGTCGCCTGTCGAGGCTAGCGCAGTCCGCACCAGTGTGCAGGGCAGGCCGGGCCCTGCGGGCTTCACTCCACCTGCCACCTCTGCGCCACTGCCAGAGGGGGAGAAGTTCTCGTTCACTCAGTGACGGCGCGTTTCCGTCTTGGTGGAGAATGGGCCAAGGGGCGGTTTTGCCCCTCCGCAGATGATCTTGGGGAGCCTCTCGGCTTCGCACAGGCCCCTCCTCCAGGCTGCCCTGTGTCCTGGTCCCCTGCCCCACCCCAGCGGGACACCCAGACCCTGCAGGGAGCTGGCTTCAGGCCATGCGCCTTGGTCCTGCGCCCTGACTTGTCCTCTGGGTGGGCGGCGGGGGCTGCTGTGGCACTGGGCCCTGACCGCGGCCAGCCAGGCCTGCACCTCGTGCCCTGCTGGCCGCGACACAGGCTGTGCGACCTCTGAGGGCCCTGCGGTCCCAAAGTGACGGGAAGCGACGGCGGGCACGGGCGTCAGCCCCTCCTTCAGGAGTTAGGACAATGTCGAGGCCCGGACCAGACGGCCCCGGGTCGGGAGAGGGAGGACAGCGAGGGTCTCGGAGACTCGGAGGGTCCCTGGAGACTTGGGGGACCTGTGAGGCGCTGGTGGGGTTCCGGAAGGAGCCTTCGGGAGCCCTGGGGGCATCTCTCTGGTCCGTCTGTCTCAGTGCTGTAGCCTGGCAGAGTCCTGTGGAGACTGGGGTGTCGGGGCCTGCGCCCGGGCTGGGCCCGCTTCCCACTCTGCCGCCCCTGCCTCGCCTGCCTCATCGCTTTCATGACGAGGCCTTTACACCGCCGTGTGCCAGGGCCACGGCCGCTGTCTAGTCCAGGGCGTGGCTCGCCAGGACAGACCCCAGAGTGCGCTGTCCCCACCACCGCCACCGCGCCGCTTCTCTGCACCAAGGGCTCGGCTGGCCGGTTCCTGTGTGAGCCTGACGTGCGTGGCTCCTGTGGTGCCCCAGGCGTGACTGTGACCCCCTTCCTTTGCTGGCAGTAACAGGGCCTGGTTGTCCAGATTGCCCGGGTCCCTTTCTTCACTTTGGGGTTTCCACATTTTGACATTTAGGAACAAAGTATCAGCCTGTCTGTGAGCACGTTTTCTGGGGGCGCGTTTTCCTCCCGTGTGAGCTCGTGGCGGACAGAAACCCCGAGTCCCGCAAGCAGCCTGTGCCCAGCTTTTGCGCGGCTGCCCCCCTCTTTCCCAACCTGCGGCCGTTCCTCCCAGCGACCGGTGTCCAGTTTCTCACCCCTCCTGCCCCTTGGGCTGATGCCTCCCAGGTGGTGACCTCTCGGGGTGCGACCCCTTGCGGCCAGGCCGGTGCATGGTGCCCATTCAATGCGCCCAAAGAGCGGCTTCCCTGCCAGCATCTCCAGACCCTGCTGCTCGCTCCCAGAAGAGCTGGAGACGGCCCCAAACCAGCTTCTAACGGGACTCGGCTTGGGAGGCTCCTGCTCTTTTCTGGATGCTCTGTGGCCCATTTGGTGAATTGTAGGCCCCGAGGGGCTTACCAAACTGCAGCTGAGTGGGCGTCTCCTGGCACTTGAGTGGCAAGGGCCGCAGGGCGAGAACAGGCCTGTGTTTCTCAGCTGTGGCTGCTCCCTGGCAGCTCTGCCGGAGGCTCTGTGTGGGGCCGCATCAACCCCTCCCCTGCGCCTGTACCTGGCCAGGATGAGGGGCTGGAAAGCCCCATTGGGGCCGTAGGAAGGAACCCCGCGGCTGATGCCCCTGCTTGGCTCAGGGCGCCATGCTTTAGTGCTAAATTAATTCCTGCATCTCACGTGTTTGTCTCATGCGTTCAATGGCTGAGAAAACCCCCAGGTGGGATGCTTCTTAGGGGGCGATGGGGAAGGAGGACACGGGGTAATTTAGCAGTCATGGTTCTTCAGGTTGGGGGGCGGGGCCTGATGCCGCCTCCTGGCCGTCTCCACAGTTCCTCCAGGACACGCTGGACGCCCTCTTCAACATCATGATGGAGAACTCCGAGAGCGAGACTTTCGACACCTTGGTGTTTGATGCGCTGGTGAGAGGTTCTGTTTGTGTCTGCTTGTGTGCTGTGGCCTTTGAAGGGGGGTGGACATCCAGGAGACCTTAGGGCATTTGCAGTTGTAAACCCAATCACAGCCGGAGCTTTGAGAGCTAGAAAGTCTCTTTTTCTGAGATTCCGTAGTGAGGCAATGCAATCTCGGGACCTCAGCGCTTACCCCCGCCCCTCGCCCCCCGCAACCAGACTTGGTGTGTCGCTTGGGGCCGTGCGAGCTACTCTGTGAAGATTCCAGAAGGCTGGCATTGTTTGCTGACAAGAATGCTCACTGATTTCACAGGTGTTCATCATTGGACTCATTGCTGATAGAAAGTTCCAGCATTTTAACCCTGTGCTGGAGACCTACATTAAGAAGCACTTCAGCGCGACCCTAGCCTACACGTGAGTTGTTTTTGGCTGTTTTCAAACCACAGCTTAGGTCTTTTTCACAGACTTCTCTGTCTGTGGCTGTGTTTTCCCTTCATCACTCTGAATTGACTGAAGTAAATTTGGTTATTGTTTCCCTCGTCACGGACCTGAATCTTGCTGAGGGAGACCTGTGATGGATCACAGCGTTCTGGGATAAGTTCTCGCCCTCCTCCACAGCTCCCCTTTGTCTGAGATTTCCAGTCTGCGTCTGATGAACGGATAGGTGGGTGTGGAGCAGCCTCCGGGGAGGCTTGGGAGGCGCTGACGTGTGCCTCTTTCCAAATCACTGGTGCTGCAGTGTGAATACAGTTCAGCTTGGAGTTTTCCCTTACCGTTAGGCTCTTCAAAGCGGGCCTCACGTTTGCCCCTCTAGCCCCAGCGGTCACTGGCTTGGTCCTCACTGCCCAGCCACCTGGCTGGACCCCCCCCCACTCAGAGTCCCCGGAAATGGTTCTGTTCAGTGACAGTTCATGGGGTGCAGGTGCCTGACTGCCTCGACTGTCCCTGGCTGACCTGTGTTCTTTGCCTGTGCGCTGCCCTAAGCTCAAGAGCTCGAGGTCAGAGCTCAAGGTCATCTGTCTGCAGCAGCTCTGTCATGAGTCTGCTGCTGATTCCACAGCCGCCTTGCTTACTGCAGGGCCCCGGGGAGGGGGCCGCAAGCGCCCACGGACTGCGGCGCAGGCTCCGTCCTTCGCTGAGACGGGAGCAAACCTTCTGCTCTCTCGGTGGCGATGCTCCCTTGCCTCCACGGGACAGGTCCTCCCAGGCTCGGGGCGGGGCCCTGTGACTGCGTCCTGCCCAGAACCAGAACAGAGCCGGGCAGGGTGCGCGGAGGTGCCTGGGCCCGTGTGGCGTGGTGCCCGCGGCTGTCCCGTGTCCACTCTGCCCTCTGCTGAAATGCGGCCATGCGGCCCTCCTCACCCTGGACTTGGGGTCAGAAAGTCAGCAGTGTGTAGCCTGCTGCTCCTCACGCGCCCCCCGAGCCTCGGGGAGCGGCGAGCCTGCACGCCTGGGGTGGCGAAGTGAAAAGGGGGCTCCAGCAAGTTCGCCAGGGGAGCAGCCAGGAGGCCACCTCGCCGATGAGCTGAGGTGGCTGCTGTGCGTCCGTGTCCTGTCTGCCGTCTGCGGCAGGGACGTCCCGCTGGGAGGCCGCCTGCTTGTGCTGCTCACGGCGGCCGCAGGCCCTCGGCTGCTTGATCTGCGCGCTGGCACTTGCGGGGAGATGTGCCTTGCCTCCTAACTGGAGGGGTGGATGTCTGGTGTTGGGGCTTCGGCCCAGGGCTTCTCACAGGGCGTCGCCCGCACTCCCTCCTCGAAGCCTGGTGGCTGGGTTGCTAGACTCCGGCTGGCCAGTCTCCGCGCCCTGCTTTGATAAAGGCTGCGGTGCGGCCTTTCTGTGCTCGGCTCCCCCAGAGAGCCAAGGTGGCTGGAGGGGCTGGCGTTGCTTCTCGGCGCTGCACAGGGCACACGCTGTGCAGAGGCCACTGGTGGTGGCCAGTGCGAGGCCGGGATGTGGACGCTGACTCTGCGGATGTTCTTCCAGAAACCAGCAGCACAGGCGCCGTTCTGTGCTTCCGGCCGCCTTTCCGAGCCAGCCCGCTTTCCTCCCGCTGACCAGTGGCCGTCTCGTCTGCCCTCAGCTGTGCCAGGCTTGATCTTTCAGCTGTCCCAGGACTGCCTGGCCAGATGGACGCGCTCCTTTGACTTCCCGGTTGATTTGTGGGTCTGGGTCCTTCTCTTTGCAAATCATTCCTTCTTTTTTAATTCTTTTCTGTTGGAATAAATCCGTAGGTGTCTTGTACGGAATGTGAGTTCTTTGGGGGCATCAAAGGGTTTAAGAAGAAGAGCTGCATTTTCCAGTAAACTTGGGAAAGCAAGTTAGGCCACGTCAAACCAGGTTCCTGCCAGCACGGTGACCGCTGTGCTGTGCGCGGAGAAGCACGGGTGAGGGACACTTGCAGGCACCTGCAGGCTCGGGAGGGCGGGGCCGGCTGGCCGGGCCTCTGCACACAGCCCCCGGCAATGCTGCCTGCCGCTGCCCGGCTTCTGCCGGGGTTCTGAGGCCCGCTTCGTGCTTGGAGTGACTCCCCCCCCCGCCCAATACATGGAGCTTTTGTTGGGGTTCAGCGGTAAAACAGGCAATCTTAGGGCTGCTTCCGGGTCAACTCTAGAAGCACCAGTGGCTCCTGGGAGTGTGTGGCAGTGAACGGCAGCACCTGGCCTGAGCGCTGGCCCAGAGCCCAGCAGCGTCTCAGTCCCGCCTCCAGCTGTGTCTCTGCGAGCATTTGAGTCGTGCGAAATTTCGGCGTCTCTGTAAGAAGTTAGGGAGCAGGGGGTGTGGGTGACCTGGTGTCCTGGCAGTCTGGGGGCCATGGTCTCGCGCCCGCTGTGGTCTCTGCAGAGCAGGCCCTGCAACAGTGTGCGGCGTGAATCTGTGTTTGTTGCTTTGGGGGCACCATTTGAAAGGCACCCCAGGAACCGCGGACAGCAGTTGCTAGTTTAGAGGTCGCTAGTGGTAGAGAGCATACGTGTCTGGGCAGAATGAAAATGTGATCATCACCATTCCCGCCTCCACCGTCCGACAATGACACATGATTAAATGGAGACAAAGCCCAGAGGCCTGGACGTGACCAGCCTGTGCGTGAGAACGTCTCAGCTCCCTGCGCGCTGACAGCTGCCGTTGGGTGACCGCTGCTGGCAAGTCCCTGGACGGATTCCGCATGTGTCTTTTAAGGTCACTGTTATTTCTGCTCATTGTAGAAAATGGCATCATGGTGGTATTTTTAAAACTTAAGAACACTTGTCACTGCTGTAGTTTATATACAACGAAACGTCGACTTTGTGAGTTTGGACAATTGCAAACACCCGGGGCACCACCCACTGCCCACCAAGGACGTGAGTGTGGCCACTTCCCGGAAGGTTCCCGCAGCCCTCTGAGTCAGGGATACACACGCAGCAGCGCTCTGCTGACTTCCGTGAGCGCAGGCCCGTTCGGCCGCCCTCTGTGGCTCGGGGTCCCGAGTGCCGGTCCCTCCACGGCTGCTTTTGAGGGGGCCTCACTGCGTCGTGCATCACGGCGTCACTGGCTCCTGTTCACGGCTAGGAGCTGTTCAGGGCATGAGCCGCCGTGACTGGCTGAGCTGGCCTCCTGTCCATCGGTGCTCCGGTATTTCCAGTGTCGTCTTTCCCGGAAACGGGCCGCTGTGCATATTCCTGTCCCGCCTTCGTGTGCACACAGGTTTCCCTCCCCTTGGCTGGACACTTAGGGGCAGTGTCCACGGCTCTCCTCTTTCCGGGAGCCCCCCAGGTCTCCACGTTGGCTGTGGCTGCTGCCCCTTCCCGGTGTCTGCACTCACTTGCCTGTCATGAGGCTGGGTCCGGTTTTGGTTTTCCTAGTAGGGATGCTAATTTGCAGTGACCGCGTGCCCCAGGAATTGAGGACTTTTTATTGCCGTTAGTGACGTGTCCGCCCGGTTCCCTTTTCCATTAGCTGTCTGCTCATGCTAAGTTTTGTTCATGTCTGTTTTTGTCAAGCTGGAATCTTGAACCTTTCCTCTGCTTTCCCTCCCCCGCCTTACTAGTGGTGCTGTTTGAATGAGCAGAAATGTGTAACTTTGTTGAAGGAGGCCGACTACAGCCCGTCTCAAACGGCTGTGATGTGCTTGTTGGCTGAGCTGCCTCTGTGCAAACCAGAGTCTCAGCGTATGCACCGCCCAGCGTGACAGCCACTGGTAGGCGGATCAGACTTTCACTTGGGAGCTGCGTTCCCGGGGCTCGGGCTCCACGTGTGGCTGGTGGCGTCCCCTGGCTGGGGGACAGGTCCGCGGGGCACAGGGCTCTGCGCCATCCCTGGCTTAATTTCTCCGTGTGCTTTTTTTTTTTTTTCTTTAAGTCTCAGTAACACAGAAAATATATTTGTCAAAACTCAACATCCATTTATGCTAAAATGCCTCTGCCAACCGGGGGCGCAGGGGGCCTTTCCCACAAGTGATGGGGGCTGACCTAACTGTGCTGACGCACGAGACGCTGTCCCCTAAGTTCAGGGACAAGCCAGGGCTGCCTGACCTTAGCACAGCTGAGTAGGTCGTCTGGAAGTTGGGCAACGAAGCAAGAAAGAGACACTTGGAAGTTCAGCAGTTGCAGTCAAGCTGCCGTTATTTGTAGATGGGCTTATGCACATTCAGACCCTGAGGAACCTGTGTTAGCAATCGAATAAAACAAAGGAAGCTTCTAGAACTACTTAGGGAAGCTGTGATTCAAAGCTCTTTTAGAAAATCAGCTCTGTGTGTATAGTTAGTGGGAACATGCTAAGGTAGAATATGACTGACCATGCTTTTTTTTTAAGCATCAGCTACCTCAGACTAATTTCATGACAGATGGGCAGGGCTCCTACTCTGAAATTACAGAAAGTCTCTGGGAGAAATTGTGGAAGAACTGAACAGAGCTGAGCACGGATTGAAAGATAAGATATTGCACAGATGTCCATTTGCCCGGACTAATCTGTAGTTGAGCACAACAGCAATCGAAACTCCAGCAAGCTTTTGTCAAAAAAGCGACTCATCTATTAACGAGCTACATAGAAATGGAAAACGTCTGGAATCGCTCAAATAACTTTGCAGGAGACGGAAAGCTGCGGGAACAAAGACGCGGGGCATGAAGGGAGACAAAAGATGGGTGGGAGAGAAGGTGGACCAGAGGAGACCGACAAGCTGTCTTCCGGTCGGTCGCAGCTGCTTTCCTGCGGCTTGTGGCTGCCTGACTCTGTGGGAGTGGCCACGTGGGCCTCACATGCCCTGGCCCTCTGCGCACACTGGCCCTCCCCGCCACTGGCCCTCCCCGCCACTGGCCCTCCCGCGCACGTGGCCTCCCGCGCACGGGGGACTCCCGTGCACGTGGCCCTCCCACGTGGGACTTCCGTGCACGTGGCCCTCCCGCGTGGGACTCCCATGCACGTGGCCCTCCCACGTGGGACTCCGCACACTGGCCCTCCCGGCCTTTCATTTGTGACAGCTGTGCGGTGTTCCACGGGCTTCCTCTCATCTGTTTGATCAGCTCTCGCGCGATGAGCATTTGCTTTAGTTCTGTATTTCCGCCGTTGCAGCAGGCCACAGTAAAAGCCCTTTAACACGTTTGTAGTGTCTGTAGGCTGGGTTACTAGGAGTAGAATTGCTGATGTCCGAGGAGTGAGCTCTTTTTAATTGTAATAGATATTTTCAATCTATTTTGCAATGGCTATTACCACTTTGCTTTCCAAAGGAAGCCGCATCCCATCGGCTTGTCTGAGCATTTTTTTCACTTAATTTTATTAGGCGAAAAATGGCTTCTGGTTTAATTTGCATATGGTGGCTTGTTAATGTGGCTTATATTTTTGGATTTTTTTGATATATACATATGTTGAGTCTGACTTTTTAAAAATTAACTCACATACTCTGAATCATGAAAGGTTTAAAAAAAAACCCGTGAACTCAATTTATTTTATGAAATTGAATTCTTCATCTGTGAAACAACCAATGGATAGTTTATTTGTACCAACTGTCTAATTACCTATGTAATGATATGAAGCTTTTAAAATTAGTTTTGGCAGATGTCTGTAATGAGGAAGGTTTTAAATGTTTCAGGTGAGGAAGTTACTTGTGTTTTTCTGACCAGGTATTAATTTAAGGATATGGACTCTTACGTAAAGTCATTAGACTTAAAAGACTTTTGTAATCCTGTCACTAGAAAATATAAAGATTATTTGAAAATCTTTTTCATGTCCTTACCCATCTTACTCTCATATCTTACTCTTTTCTACGAGGACATTCAGGAAAACTCATTATAAGTTAAGAATGGCTCTTGTTTGAAAAATTAGTCCTAAAATTTAATTTCAGGAATTCCAGTTTCAGAAAAGGAGCTGAAATGCAGAGGATGGCCTGGATGCTTTCCAAGGACGAAGCCTATTTCAAAGAATGCCTTTTTCTTTCTTTCTTTTTTTTTTTTTTAAATATTTATTCATGCATACAGAACTGGGGTACAAGCCAGAGGTGGTGAGAGGCTTCACCAGAGACAAGAGTGGGGAGCAGAACAGGCAGATCGACGAAGTCCACTGTCGAGGGGAGCAGCGGGTGGGTCAGGAGGGGTCTGCCGCGCCCTGGGGGTCACCTCCGGGGCGGGGATTGAACTAGCAGTGAAGCGGCTGCGGCCAGCTTCCAGTGCTGCATCCTGACCCCTTGTGCCACCAGGGAGGGCCCAGGATGCCTTTTTCATGGTGGTAACATTTCCACGTCGTCACCTTTAGCATTTTAGCCACTTTTGAGTATAAAATTCAATGTCCACGTGCAGCGTTTGGTACAGCCACTGTGGGCCCAGCATCGCCTAGTTCCAGAACGTTTGGGAGAATGCCTTTTTGGCAAAGAATGGCTGTGCCCCTTAGGACAGTAAAGAAAACTCTTTCGATTTTTGTTTTTTAATGTCGGAGAGCTGGTTTCCCTTGCCCAGCTGGCCCAGCCTGGCCTCCGCCTTGTGACTGAAAGGCGGCTCCCTCCCCTGCCTCTCGGGCTGGGCAGTGAAACAGCGCATGTGTGTATGTCTCAGCACACCCAGCGCTCCAGGCGGGCTCTCCGAGGCCTAGACCTGCTCCACTAAGCGTGTTGGTGGGTGTGTCCAGGAGCGCGTGCCGTGGAATGCGTGGGTGACGGGGACCCGACACAGCGGCCCCTTGTATGTTCTGTCCCGGCCAGGAATTGAGATCCTGTCATTTTTTTCTGGATTTAGTAACCTGTGTTCCCATTCTGCACAGGAAGCTGACCAAGGTCTTGAAGAACTACGTGGACAACGCTGAGAAGCCGGGCATCAACGAGCAGCTGTATAAGGCCATGAAGGCCTTGGAGTACATCTTCAAGTTCATCGTGCGCTCCCGGATCCTGTTCAATCAGTAGGTCCCGCCGCCTCATCCTCTCCCGACCCCGACCTGCCCCCGGCCTCCGCCCCCCACCCCTCTGTCCCCCGCCTCTTGCTGTCCTTCCTCTCGCCGCTGTCCTGGGTAGAGACTGGGCCGGGGTTGCCACTTGCCCTTCGCTGCCCCCGCAGTGACCTGCAGCCCTTAGAGGCCCCTGTGCCGAGTCTGCTCACGAGACAAACATCCCTGTAAACAGCGCGGCGTGCTCGGCTGGCGAGGCCCTGTGCAGGGCCTCTGTAGGTCTGTGCGTGTCTTCACAGAGAGAAAGCTCCCCAGGAGAGCACACAGCAGTAACAGCAGAAAGCAGCACCAAGTTAACCCGCCCCCTTTGGGGAGCCCGGCCTCCGGCCTCTGCTCCTCCAGCGGGAGCCGCGGCCGGCTCCGGGGAGAGTCCCACGCGGGTGGCGGCTGCGGGGCCGCGCTTCCCGCCCAGCGGCGGGGCTTGCGCTTGATTTGGAGCTTCGAAGTGCACTTATGATTCCGTAGTTTCCTAAAGAACTTTAACTTTCCCCCTTGGTGTCCTCGGTTAAGGGATGTGCTGAAACAGCTGTCAGCTGTCGCTCAGATCTGAGCTCTGCAGATGAATTGATGGAAAGGGGGTGCACCGAGTGGTGGGGGTCATGTCCACCTTCCTGCTTCTCTGAGGGGCAGCTTTGGGCGACCCTTGTGTGAGAGGTTGGCGCCTGCCGGGTGCTGGGGTTGGCCGGAGTCGCGTCAGGCTCGCGCTGAGTCCGTGGGGGACGAGGGCCCCTCTGGCTTAGGAGGCCCCGCTGCTCAGCGTGGCTGCTGCTGACGTCTGCCCCCGTGTGCGCCCAGCTCTGTCGACCAGTACGTCGCACCAGTGAGTCACGCAGACAGGCCTCCTGCTCAGCCACCAAGCCCAGGGCAAAGGCCGCGGCCTAGTGTTACCTGTGTTTTCTGTTTCAGTGTGGTGATTCCCATGAAAATGAACTCAACTCCCACAATATATCCCCCTCCCCCAATTTTAAATCTTTGGTTAGCTCATTTTCTTTTTTTTTTTTTAAAGATTTATTTATTCATATGGAACTGGGGTACAAGCCAGAGATGCGGAGGGTGCGAGGATTCACCAGAGACAGAGCGGGGAGCAGAACAGGCAGAGCGACGAAGTCCACTGCTGAGGGGAGCAGAGGGGGGGTCAGGAGAGGTCTGCCACGCCCTGTGGTCACCTCCGGGGCAGGCGGGGATCGAACTCATGCGGAAGTGGCTTTGGCTTCTTGGTGCTGCGCTTTAACCCGCTGCGCCACCAGGGAGGGCCCAGCTCATTTTCTTTTTAAAGATTTATTTATTATGCACACAGAACTGGGGTACAGGCCAGAAGTGTGGAGGAGGTGTGAGGACTCACAGAGACAGAGTGGGAAGCAGGGCAGGCCGGTTGATTGAAATCCCCTGCTGAGGGAGCAGCGAGACAGGAGCGTCTGCCAGGCCCTGAGGGTCACTCCCTGACTGGGACTGAACTGGGCTGCAGTGGCTGCAGATAGATGATGGCACCATCTTTAACCCTTGCGCCACCAGGGAGGCCCAAATCTCACCGTTAAGGTGAAAGGATGAACTTGACACTGTCAGGGGACATGGACTTGGTCAGTTTACTTTGAAGAAACCTTGGTCCTTGTGGTCAGTGGCCCATCAAGCGAGCTGCTCCCCTCCCCTTTCTGCAGGAGCAGCCGATGCTGCTGCTCACGCTTGAGAGAAGCCAGCCTCAGCGCTCAGTGTCTGCACCGTCACCTTTTCGCAGCTGCCGCACAGAGGACATGGGGTTGCCGGGGACCGACACCAATGTCCTTCCTCTCTGTGTCTCCTTAACCCTCTTCCGTCCAGCCCACCAGCAGGAGGTCCTAGGCCTGTGGTCCATGAAGTGGAGTTTGAAGGCGCTTGCCAGGGTTAGCAATGTGCCTGTGACTTAGAGATCGCCTCCCCGGTGCGGCTCACCTTCTGTGTGCTTTCTGAGTTCCCCCACAACATGGAGCCCTGGGAGGAGCCGGAGCTCGTTCCCTTCCTCTGTGGGCTTCCCGTGTTGTTGGCTCCTCTCCCCACCCTCTGCTCCCCCATCCTCAGGGCTGGCTCTTGACCTCATGGCCCCAAGGTGGCTGCTGCCTCTCCCGGCATCAGCCCTTCATTCCAGGCAGCACGGGGGGCTTAGGCTGACCAGTGCTTCCAGTCACTCTCCTTTAAAGGACTTTCCTTGGTCCCTTCAAAGTGTCATGCGCTTTGCACCAGAACCATGTCATGTGACCTCTGAAGGTCAGGCGGTCTGGGAAGGATGTTTAGATGGCTTTGTGGATGCTTTCTTTTGGTAGAGGGTGCGCTGGTACTTGGGGGCCATTACCGTTCTCTCGTCATACCTGTAACCCAGACCTTCTGCTGTCTGACAGTTCAGCCCTTCCCGACTGCAGGATACGGAACTGGCCAGCTTCCGGTCCTCCGAGAGTGTTTGTTCCTGCTCATTCTGGGGTTGATCTGAGACTCCTGTTCCCCCCGGTCTCTTTGGCTTAAAGACACTGGAGCCCTCAGTGGCCCACAGACGGCATGAGGCTCGCAGCAGGCCCTGGCCGTGACCGGGAGGTAGTGCCTGTCTCACATCCTCACGGGGCCGAGTGCTGGCGTTGGGCTGTCGGCACAGCCCACCCCGAGGCTGCCCAGTCTTCCAGGGGCTCGGGCTGGGCATCCGGCTTTGTCTGCCTGAAGGCTATGGTGATGCCCCTGGGGGTCTGGGCATCAGGCTTCTCTCCCCTTTGCTGCCCTCCCCCTCTCCCTCTGCCCGTCCTGCATCCCTGGCACTAAGCACTGAATGAGCCCTGGAGCCTAACTACACCCCAGACTTCAATTGTTTATGGGCCTTATTTTTTCTCCTTTGCCTAAATGCATATCTTGGCTGCCTCCTACCATCCTGGAGGGCAGAGAAGGACATACTTTTCTTTTAAAACTTGGAACACAGTCGTGATCCCATTAGCTGAGAGATGATACTGCTTCTGAAACTTAAATCTCAGTCTGAACTGCTGAGATGGTTTAGTATCTAAGGGATCCCCTGGTAGACAAGGGAGCCTGGCCTTAGACAATGCAGGCAGTAAGTAAGTGGGGGCTCAGGTTGGGTAGTGCGCGCCCCCACGCCCAGGCCCTGTCCCGCCCTTCCCTGCCCTGGCTCTTCATCGTCGGCCTGCAGGGTGTTCATGTGGAGGAACCTGGTACTGAGACAAACCAGCCCCTGCCCGTCGCCAGTGTGTGATCCAGCCTGCTGTTCGAAGCAGCTCTGGGTGCTGGTGTCTGAGGTGGAAGACAGTGCATTCTTCTCCTTTTCTTACCTTAACACATTGATCACCTTGGGAGAAAAATGCTTGTGCTCACAGCGGGAACAGACAAGTGCATTTTCTTTTGCATTTGAATAAACTTTTGAGGTATTTTACTTTTCTTCTTCCAATATAGTCCAGTGTTTTCACATAATAGTAGTAGTTTTGTTAAATTCAAGGATAATTGGCTGTAATTATTCCTCAGGGAACAAAGAGGTCCCTGAAAGCAGGGCATGGAGATGCCGAAGCTTCTGAGGTCTCCTGCTTGCTCTGTCATGATGTGGATCTATGCTTTTTGTTTGCGTAGAAAGCTCATTTTGTTCTGAAATGGAACAGCAGTTGAGAAACTCTGGCCCCTGAGACATTTGTTTTGTGGGGGACCCGTGGAAAGCTCCCCCCACATGCAGGGGCGCCTCTCTGCAGGTGCTGTCTGCCTGTCTTCTGTGTGGGAGGACGCTGTGACCCTGCGTTCCAGGACCCCGCGTTCCAGAAAACAGCCCTGTGGCACCATCTCAGAGCCATGGGGTCCTCTTGCCTCACTTGCTGGATTTTTGCCAGCTCTGGCGTAGCTTCGTGGATGATTATGTCCATTATGACTGACTGGCTGCAGACCTGCCACTTTGCTTTCCTTTCCGCAAAGAGGGGACATCCTTAACAGACACAAGGTTTTTGGTCCCTGTTATTTAATGCTTCTTTACAACATGTAAGCAGTGCAGGGAATGCAAGGCTTTATTCATTTATTTATCTGCTTCTTTTCCCCTGTGTTTTTCCCTCCCACACCTTCCTTCACCTCAGCTTGGGTCAAACAAGTTGCTTTTCCTGGTTTATTTAGTAAAGGCAAGAGATCAGATTCTAGAGACCGCCAAGCTAGTCTCTCATTGCAGAAAGATGCACCCAAGGGATTGCTGAAAATTAGTAAATTTTTATGTCTTACAACCTTTTATATGTTGGGTAGAAGTAGAAACTAGAAATTAAATTTCATTATTAGGGATTTGTGGTAGAATTTTAAATGCAAATAGGATCATTAAGGTATACCCTGTGGATTTTGATGCTGTGTTATTGGGGGCATACACATTTAGAGCTATGATCTTTCTTGTGGCATTATTCCATAATCTGTATGAAACATTCCCTTATCTTTGGGTTAGTATTTGCATTTGGTAACTTTTTCCGTTATTTTACTTTCAGCCCTCTCATGTCTCTGATTTTAAAATATGTCTCTGATACTCAACATATAATTTTTTATTTCATCCAGTTTGCATGTCCTTTTTTTTTTTTT